TTCCATTTTGCTCCCTCTATAAATGCCTCCAATGATCTTTACGTTGTAGTGGTTGATCAACTTAAGGAGTATGTTAATCTCTTTAATTTTGATTTGTCATTTAGGGCTAAAATTGCAACATCTCATCCTATTTTAATTAGGGATGCTCATCCAATCAAGGTTTTTGTTTAACATTGGTCATTAAAAGAGATCAGGATTTTATGTTCAAATGTCAAGGAAATGTTAGAGAAAGGTGTTATCTGAAAGTCTCGAAGTCCTTGGATGTATGAACCTCATCTTATGACAAAGCTTGATAGGAGCATTCGCTTTTGCATTGACTATCGTTTATTAAACAAAATAATTATCTTGGATGTGTACCCTCTTCCTTACACTACTGATATTCTGAATCGTCTGGGGAAAAGTTGTTGGTTCACTAAATTAAATTTTATTTTTGGGTACTGATAAGTACTGATGGTTGAGGAAGATAATCCTAAGACTACTTTTTATACACCATTTTTTTTGTATGAATTCTTGATGATGCCATTTGGTTTGAACAATCTTCAACATCTTTTTAGTGGATGATGGATGAGATTCTCTATGATATGTTAGAGGTGACTATTGACTTCATTAATGACGTCTTGATCCACCTAAAGGGGATGTGAAAAGAGCACATTCATGATGTTCATAAAGTGTTTAATTGATTATGGGAAATTAGTTTAAAGTTGAAGTGGTCAAAATGCATCTTTGGATCTAAAAATATAACATACCTTGAATACCATATTTCTTGTAAAGATTTATAAATTGATCTTGACAAATTTATAGTTATTTTAAAGTTCCTTATTCCGAAGTGTGTAAATGATGTGTAACACTTTCTAGCAAAATGCAATATCTTGATTGTTTTGTTGATCATTTTTCTGATCATAAAGTTGAGACTTTTATATATAAAAATAAATGGACCAAATTTAGTCCCAGATAGAATGTTCATATGTTATAGTACTATAATTAACATATTACCTTGGCAAGGTAATACATGTTTATATGTATATATACTTATAGACCTTAGACCTCCTCCCCTTCGAAAGATGAAAACATAATAATGATAAGTTAGGTGGAACATCAAGAGCTTTTGTTAGGTGATTATAAATTATTACAAGAATCTGAAGTTCTCACCAGATTACGAATAAAAATTATAAGTCATAAATGATTATCATGTTAAGAGAAAGGAAATACTGCAAATAAGAAAGAATAGTAAGAATATAAAAAGGTGGCTCAGACCAAAAAATAAAAAAAGTTGGGAAAGAGTATAAAGTAAAGAGAAATGATTAAATGATATATTCAAATATTAACACCTACCTTGTGAGATTTCTAACTTGCTTTCAAAATTATCTTTATAATAACTAAGTTCCTCATCACAATCTAGAATCCACTTGAGCTCATATACATCATCTTTTCATAAAATTAATCTGTAAACATTCTCTAAAAATCATATTACATCATCCATAATTTTTCAATTAATATCACAATCACACTCCATATATCACTTCAAGCCATTGATGTTACTTTATTAGATTGAGATTTTGATGTTGTGCGGCATAATTCAATTGGTGTTACTCCAATCTATGATTTATTGCCATCTTTTGCTTCTCTGGGATGTAATTATACAACTTCTTTTATTCTTAATGTCTTACCATTTCTTATTGACAATGTGATATAGCAAAAGGAAATGTAGTGAAGATAAAAAAGAAAAATAGATTAGATAGCTAAAATCCTAGATCTAGCAAAAAGTTACAACAAATCTAGCGAAGAAAGGAAAAATGATAAAACAAAAACATAATATTGAACACTGAACAAAGCACTACCAGAAAATTTTGCCCTCTAAAGATAAATTGCAATGCCTTTCAAAGTGCTTGGGTGGTGTACGGAAGAACTTTCGTATAATTCCAGAAGCATGAAGCCTCCTTTATCCCCACCATCACATAACTACTTTTTATATATTTCATTTTAAAACGAAGTCCCTAATGGGTATCCGTAACCAATAAGTGACATTGTTTGTGAAGAGAGTCTTCCAAAAGGACTCGAACACACGACAGAGGGTATAGTTAGGGTTTATCATTTTGTGAATGGCAGCATGGCGGGCGTTGCATCGCCGCTTTGCGCCTACGATCAGGCCAGCAGCATTCGTTTGGAGCGCGCGATGGAGCTCCAATGCAGCCAGTGCCGCCGCCAAGAACATCGATCTCAGCAAGTTCCCGGTCTCGCTGATCAGGAATTTCTCCATCATCGCACACATTGACCACGGCAAGTCGACCCTCGCGGATCGATTGCTGGAGCTCACCGGAACGATACAAAAGGGTAAAGGCCAGCCGCAGTATCTCGACAAGCTCCAGGTATGAGAAATCTTTGTGTCAAGCCAGGAAATTCTTTTGAGTGTGCTAGAATTCTCAGCTTTGTTAATGCTGCAATTTTTTTACTCTATCGCTCCTTGTGGATTCTGATAAATCTTTTTCGTTTCGTTTCTAGGTGGAACGGGAACGAGGTATTACTGTGAAAGCACAGACTGCCACCATGTTCTACGACCTCAAGAACGAAGATGATGGTTCTTCCGAGCAGTACCTTTTGAATCTTATCGACACACCGGGTCACGTCGACTTTAGCTACGAGGTTTCTCGATCGCTCGCTGCTTGCCAAGGTGTGCTCCTGGTGGTGGACGCGACGCAGGGCATTCAAGCACAGACAGTGGCCAACTTCTACTTGGCTTTCGAGGCCAACTTGACGATCATTCCTGTGATCAACAAGATCGACCAGGCGACTGCTGATCCAGAGAGAGTGAAAGCGCAGCTCAAGACCATGTTTGATCTGGAACCCGAGGATGCACTGCTTACCTCTGCAAAGACTGGGCAAGGACTCTCGGAGGTTTTACCGGCGGTCATCAAACGAATTCCTCCTCCGACTGGTAGATGCCATTTGCCACTGCGAATGCTCATCCTGGATTCTTACTTCGATGAGTACCGGGGTGTCATTTGCAATGGTGCCGTGGTGGACGGATCCATCAAGAAAGGTGACAGGATAGCCTCGGTAGCGACTGGTCAGACTTATGACGTTCTCGACACTGGAATTCTACATCCGGAGCTAACGTCGACTGGAATGCTTCAAACCGGCCAAGTTGGATACTTGATTGCGGGGTTGAAAGCTACGCAAGAAGCACGGGTTGGAGATACTATGCATCATGCGAATGTGTCTGTTGAAGCTCTTCCTGGTAAGCATTTCTCTTTTATGCTTCTACAATTAACTTACATCCTTGTTGTTGATACTCAGGTTTCAAGCCTGCGAAGCATATGGTTTTTGCTGGCATTTATCCGGCTGATGGATCAGATTTCGAAGCTCTGGCTCAAGCCATGGAACGGCTCACATGCAACGATGCTAGTGTTAGCGCTACCAAAGAAACGAGTGCTGCCTTGGGCATTGGGTTCAGGTATGATGCATGGCAATGCAAAGTTAACGAACACAGACTTTATAAACTATCAGGTGTGGCTTCCTTGGACTTCTTCACATGGATGTGTTTCATCAGCGGCTAGAGCAGGTTAAAATTTGTGGAGTGTTTGAGTTTTCTGATTTTTTCTTTCTTTCAGGAATTTGGAGCTCAAGTCATAGCAACAGCTCCAACCGTGCCTTACATTTTTGAGTTTCAAGATGGGAGGTGAGTGAGCTGCATGCGATGCTGTGTTCTTAACTCCAAGAGTTGCAGCAAACTAAATGTCCAAAATCCAGCGCTCTTACCTTCCCAGCCAGCTCAGAAAATAGTTTCCGCTATGGAACCAGTCGTGGTTGCGACGATTATTACACCTAGTGAGTAAGCCCGTGCCGCTTGTTCTATGATGAATTCGTCCCGTCACTGAAAGACTGCTTGTTTCAGGCATGTTGGAGCTCTGATCACTCTTTGTTCAGATCGAAGGGGTGAACAGCTTGAGTTTTCCTACATTGACAGGTAAAGAGTTTGCTCTAGACTTTCAGATCTTTTGATAAACGACGTTGCAGCCAGCGGGCATTACTAAAGTATCGGCTTCCCTTGCGTGAAGTGGTCGTCGATTTTTACAGTGTGCTCAAGAGTATCACTTCTGGCTATGCTTCCTTTGACTACGACGATGACGGGTAAAGCCATATGTTCCTTTTCAATTCACCGTGACATTGCTGCGTGTTGCACAGCTACCAGGAAGCGGACCTTGTGAAAGTCGACGTGCTGCTCAATGGTCAGGCAGTGGACGCTCTTTCCACCATAGTTCACCAGGCCAAATCCGTGAGAACTGGTCGAGAGATTGTGGACAAGCTAAAGAAAGTTCTTGACAGGTAAGTCTCATTTTCCAAAGTCTAGATCGATCATACTGACGCCTCAAATCCAGGCAAATGTTCGAGGTAACGATACAGGCAGCAGTAGGAAGCAAAGTTATAGCTCGAGAATCGTAAGTCACGATCGTTTCAACTCTCTAGCTCTACAATCTCATCTTTTTCTTTTTGTGTACAGGATTTCTGCTTTGAGGAAGAATGTGTTGGCCAAGTGTTATGGAGGGGACGTAACACGAAAGAGGAAATTACTAGACAAGCAAAAGGAAGGGAAGAAGCGAATGAAACGCTTTGGCTCGGTGGACATACCACAAGAGGCATTCCACGACCTCTTAAAGCAGTGAGAGAGCGCGAAACGCCGCCACGTGGCGGCAGGCAGTTGGACCAGTAAATTTTGAAATTTGTTATCCCGCCGAGTTGCGCGGAGTTAAAAGCGCTGTACGGCGTCCGAGGTAGAATCCACCGGCGATAGGCGGTGGCCGGTGGGCCAAGGCGGCGGGCGGAAGCTAGAACGGGCGAATATTCCTGGGCTTTCCTGTCTTAGGGGAGGGGGATATTCGCCGGCGTGCAAAGATTTGTGTGCCTGGTGATGGAGCGCATGCAAGAGCGCCGGCAGGGCGATCGCGGCTAATCGCTTGGCGGCGCGGCGGTGGAGGAGAAGGAGGTGGCCGATCGATCGATCCATGGTGCTGTACCGGCCGCCCAAGCGTGCTCGCGTGGTGGAGCGCTTCAGCCTGGAGAGATTTGGGAGCGGCGGCTACCCGGCGGATTTCTCAGGGCCATTCCGGAGCAACGTCCGCGCCTTCTTGAATGAGTTTGGGCAGATGATGGCGGCGCCGATGCCCGGCGTCCAGCGCTGGTGCGTCCCCTTAGTGTCGCAGCGCGGCGCCGAGCAATCGCTGCTGGTGCTCGAGGAATTGCCGTTCGAGTCGGGCGCTCTCGGCTGCTCCCACTGCCGCATTATCGGTACGTTTCGATCGCGCGCGGTCGCGAGATCGCTAGCGCGAGAGGGAGAAAGAGAGGATTCTAGAATGAAATTTCGATCGATCGTGGTGTTTCTTTGTTTCTTAGGCTGGAGCCATCACCCGGTTTGCGGTGCGCGGTACCATTTTATTCTCCACGCTCCTGGAAAGCTGGAAGCTTTGGGAGTGGGCAAGGGACATAAGCTATGCAGTCACTGTGGCAGCGTCATTGCTTCGTCTATCACAAGGTAACCATGGCTGTGAGAAAAAAACTCTATACAGAGAAGCTAGAAAAGAGGTTGCAGATGTCCAAAGTGTGGGCTAAGTTCTTCGCGAACTATCGTTTTGGAGAACACGTCCCATCTCCTCCACGGGATCATACACTCGAATGGCTACGGGCATCTCTTGAGAGTCAATGGCTTCGAGGGAGGATCCTCGTCTCTCTCCGGCCGTGAGATCATGAACTTGTGGGATCGCTTGTGCACCATGATGCGAGCAAGGTATGCTTCACTTTGGTTTTCTTTCGCTCAACCTTCTCTTGTTTCTTCGTTTTTATCCCAGGAAAGTTAGTGTTCTTGATGCTTCCAAGAAGTTTGGGACCAGCTTTCGATTGCTTCATGCTGTTGCAAAGGGTCAGCCCTGGTATGGTTTGTGGGGCTATCAGTTTGGGAGGGGAAGCTTTGGCATAACAGATGCTGCGTACAAGAAAGCCGTCAATCAGATTGCTAGCACTCGGCTCAGCTTTTTCCTGGATTTGGGAGACGAAAGGCTGCGCCGCATCGCTACTTATTATCGGAACGGTCGGACTGGGAACTTGCAAGAGCTCGTGAGCCATTTCATGGAGCTTCTTCACGCACTCAGCAGCAAGGCGACGGGCTCCAAAGCTACTGTGCCCGCTGGAGTGAATGCTCCTCCGGCTCCGGCTCCGGCTCCAAACCGTAACTCCCAGCGCTGGTCGGCCAAGAGACTGGACAAAACACTGGACGTCCTCCTGACTGCGCTGCGGCAATTCGGCTTGAACGAGTGGATGCCGAGGATCAAGCTGCGAGAGCAAGCCCGACTGCACATTGGCGATACGGGCTTGCTTGATCACAGCCTGTGCAGCTTCGTCGGAAAGATTGTGGGTGATCTGGTCGTGCAAAGACGGCGTGACGAGCAGTTTCGGCAGCTCGAGTACAGGTAAAAGAGCGTCTTACCTTTTCTCGTGCTAATTAATGATCTCTCAGGCTGGCCAGGATTGAGTCGCCAGAGATCCAAGAGAAAAAGGAAGAGGCAGACGCGCCAGAGTTTTCCAAAGTTCTGGATGATCTAAGGTACTTATACAGCAAAGTTCTTGCGGGTGGTCTTCTTCCCGAGGACGATCCTCTGGCACAAGCGAGCAGGACAGTCCTGGACACGAAGCACTTCATAAAGGACTACAATGGAAACTCCGAGACAGATCCATGCGACGAGCCAGGAGCGGAGGTATTCAGAGTCCAGTGCCGGATGGAATCGGTGGAGCAAGGTGGCGATCAGGGAGGAGCTCCCAGCGAGCTGGTGGTGCTGCCGGCGAGCGCTACGGTGGGAGATCTCAAGCGAGAGGCGGCCAAGGCGTTCAGGGACGTGTACCCGAGCTTGGGCCAGCTGCGCGTGACGAGCATCCCGGTCCTGGAGGGCGAGGCGGACGAGAGGCCGCTCAAGCTGGTGAAGATCCAGAGGACGGCGGAGGTGGCGATCAGGGCGACCGGGATCGACAACAGGTTCTCGGCGGGGAGGTTTGAGAAGGGAGTGGACGACTGGGTGGTGAATTGCCGGTGTGGAGCTCGAGACGACGATGGCGAGCGCATGGCGGCGTGCGATTCCTGCGGCGTGTGGAGCCACACGAGGTGTGCGCACATCAGGGATGGCGATGATGTTCCAGAGCAGTTTTTCTGTGGCGGCTGTACATAACTTTTCTTTCTTCCTTCGTTATCCCCTTATATCTCATTTGAGAAAATTTAGGGTTTATTATGGTCAATATGTAAACCGTTTTCCCTTACATATCCTTAATAGTCAAAAGGTCAACGGTCGTAGAATTTAGGGTTTGTCATGGGATATGGTCAACGGTCGAGGGTTTTGAATTTAAGGGCTTTTATGCTTTGTTCCTTGTGGAGGAGGAGAAGGGCGCCCATGGCGGCAATGGCGGCGCTCTTCTTCAGCAGCGCGCTCTCCAGCACCAGCGCGGTGGCGATGGCGACGGCGGCCCCAGTGCCGTGGCCGGTCGCGGGGACGGTCCCTCTGGCGGAGCTGCTGCGAAATCTTCCGGCGCTCAAGGAGGTGAGGGTGATGAAGCAGCAGGAGCAGCAGCAAAGCGAGGCGGAGCTGCGCTGCATCGTGGTGGGAAGCCTGTGCGAGAATGCGCGCGTGTACAAGCAGCCGGCGCTGGGCCTCCTCACGGCGCTGCGAGACGAGCGCGATCCCGGATGCACCATCAAGCTCCTGGTGTCGAATTTCACGCTCTCGTCTTCCACCGACGCGGATGCCCGCGCGTGGTTCCCTCGGGGAGCGGTGGTGAGAATCACGGAGCCGCGGGTTCTTCTCGCTGGAGCAGTGGGAATGGCGATGATGGTCGACAATCCAGCGTCCGTGGAGATCGTGGGCTATGGCGATCTGGCCAACGAGGATGCGAATTCTCTGTGGAAGGAAGCCAATGCTGCGTATTCGCGTGGGGAGTACCGGAGAGCGGCGTTTCTCTATGTGGAGTGCGTGGAGCGTGGATTTCCCGGAGCCTTGCAAGCTTTCTCCCGTAGCAGCGAGGCTTGGCTCCGGCTGGGATTCCACGAGAAGGCCTTTCTCGACGCGAGCAGGGCTCTGGCTGTGAATCCTTCGCATTTCCAGAGCCTGTTCGTCAAGGGACAAGCTCTGCTCGCCATGCAAGAGTATGCTATGGCGCTCGAGTGCTTGCAAAACGCGGGGAAAGTTCTCGCCGCGTCCCCGGACGAACAAGGCATGGCAAGAAAGGTGGCGGAAGCTTGCGAGCGCTGCTCGGCACTACAAGAACAAAGCGTGACCGGCGCTTACGATCTCTCACAGTTCCTGCTCGGCGGAAGGAATCCAAGCCTCGCTCCAGTGCTCAGCGACTTCGTGGGATCCGTGAGGCTGCAGCTTGTCCAAGGCAAGGGACGGGGCTTGTTCGCCACCAAGGACCTCAAAGCTGGCGACCTCGTCCTCGTATCGAACTCCATCGCCCGCTCGACCAAAGGCGGCCTGGAGTTCCACGCGAAGATTGGCCGGGTTTGCGCGGCAAACCGGCGAGTCCTCGCGCAGCTCACGGCCTTCTTTGACGAGAGGGAGATGTTTGGCATGGATCTGTTCCTCCCAAACAGCGGCTGGTTCCAGGCACATGACGATCACTCCACGCCAACTTCGTCGTATCGCTACGTCTTCAAGGAGCTGGGAAGCAGGAATGGCCTGTGTCCTCTCGCAACCATGATCAACCACTCGTGCCTCCCAAACGTCTCGAGGCATCCGGTGGGAGGAGCTCTCTTCGTGCGAGCTGGGAGGGACATCTCCGCCGGGGAGGAGCTCATCACTAGCTACGTGAATCCATTCCAGCCGCTGGCCCAGCGGCGCAAGCAAATGGCCGAGAGGAACTTCAAGTTCGTGTGCCGCTGCGACCGGTGCAAGCTCGAGGAGAGGATCGAGGCCGAGAAGCCGGGGGTGGCGACGAGATACATCAGCGCTCTGCAAAACCGGGGGGATCCAAGCGCGGCTCTCATGGAGATGGTGAAGATCTCCGAGGAGCTGGACTCCATGGTGGAAGTCGGCAAGACCAGGGACTGGATAGTTTCCTCGTATCCATACGTCTACTGGACTGCCGGCTATCTCTCCCGCGGGAGCAAGGCCGAGAAGGAGGCGAGGCTGGAGAGCGCGGCCGCGGCGTTCCACGAGACTGCCCCGGGGGACTTGCTCACGCTGCGGAGGATGGTGGAGCTTTGCAGCCCCGGCGGGAGTGACTTTAGCGGCGGCCCCGTGCACTGCAGCCGTGCCATGAGGGAGATCTTGGAGCGAGAGGCTGTGTCGTGCTTTGGACACCATAACCAAGAGGTGCTGGATGCTGTGATACGTACCCCCGGTGCTACTGCCGCGGGAGATCTCTCGTTCTAGATTCACAGATGGAGTGTAGCCGCCTAGAACTCCCAGCGGTGCTGCCGGGTGGAGACGCAGTGATTCCTTGACGATGGCTTCGCTGTATGGGAGGTTTGGAAGATCGGACTCTTGCACTGGGCGAGCTCTGCCTACGACGCTGTCCATCTCGTCTTGAGCCTTGGGCATGACTCGGGGATGGTTTAGGAGCTCTGCCATTGTCCACTCGAGCGTCACTAGTGAAGTTTCCAACCCGCCACAACCATGTCCTGTGATTGCAACAAGGAAAGAAAGAGGCTTTGACCACGGGCGAGATGGAAGTTGGTAGAACTTACCAGTGCCAGAATGGAGATGTTTGGCAACTGAGAGATATAAGAATCATATAAGAACGTCGGTGAAGTCTGGAGGGACGAACGCGTCCCCAGCTTGATCTTTCCTGCGTCGATGCTTGTCGATTTGATCTTCCAACAAGAGCTTCGGGCGAGGCATGAGCTCCGAGTTGATTTTCTTGTAGACTCCAATTGAAGATCCAGCCGATCTAGTGCCGGAAGCAGGATTCCAACGTTCAAGTACAAGCTTAGAGCGGCTATGTTCTCCACCACCTCCAGCCCTCGCTCGCTGAAAAGAATGACGAGGCAAAGCGAATTTGACAAGAGAGTGCTGAAAACCTCTTGCGGGTTAATCGCTTTCCCGGACTGCTGGAAGATGGACGTGACTGTTTGGTTCATCTCCGACTCGCGGAATCCTGCGCTTTGCCTTGAGCATGTTGTTGCTAAACAGGTGTGTGCTGCAAATCCTCCGAGGATGAGATCGTTCCAGTTGTGGCTAACGATCCGGACGAACTCGTCGTCGCCGGCTTGCAAACTCGATGAGAACCTGTGCGGCCGTTTCGTTGTCGTTCACCACTACCAACGGGGCCATTCCGATCTTGAGGTAGATAATCGGCCCATACTTCTTGCTGATCTTTGCAAAGTAGTGGTGGAGTGGCTCCTCGAGGGAGAAGAGCGCTCCGAAAATGGGGAAAGAGAATGGACCTGGAGGGAGCTCCGACGATCGAATTCTCCCGATGAGAAGGCAGGGTGTGATCCAGCCGATGCCAAGGACGAGCAAGGCCACACCCAAGTTCATCTCGATCGATGGTCTGGATCTACGAGCCGTCGCCATATTATAGAGGTGCAACTGCACTTGCATCCAGAATTCTCCCGGAATCACGCGGCTGGTATGGAAAAGTAGAGCAACTGGTAGATTTTTCTTTCTAGGCAAAGATCGTTGAGCAGTTGGAGCAAGACTTGTCGCTGGACGCTGTTTGCCATAAGAAGGTATGCTGCCGTCAACCTGCTGCAGCATCGCGATATGTGTTTAAAATGGTTCTTCCTTTTAACTTCTTGTATTTATAATTTATAAACTTTCCTAAACACTTTTTAGTATATTCTAGTTTATTTTTCTCTTCAAAAAGAATAACTTTCTTTTATCCAAAGCCTCCTAGTGAAGCCAGAAATTTGAGAGAACGGAAAGAAGCGTAAATTTAGCATCAGCTATGACGAAAGTGGCCGTATTTCTCCCAAATGGAAGTCGAATCAAACGCTGGAGAAGGGATTTTGTGGAGGAAAGCGAATCGCAAAATAAAAACTCGTATTGTAATGAGAGCTTTGCATTTTAATATTTTTATTAAGGGGTTGTAGCTCAGATGGGAGAGCGCTCGCTTAGCATGCGAGAGGCACTGGGATCGATACCCAGCATCTCCAAATATATTTGCCAGGTTTTGACTGATGTTGAGTAACCGTCAAGAGCTTCGGGACTGCGCACCAGCGCTCCAGCCTGAATAGAAGATTGTAAAGGTGGAATCGTTGGGCATAGGCTTGGGTCTACACGCGAAAAGTTTGAGAAGAAAGAGGACGCGATCATCATGAAGATATCAAGACTGTGATCGATATGTACACCCTGGTATTGGAGCTCTTTGACAGGATGAACTCTCGAAGTTTCATTGCTGCTATGCGCTGCTCAAGCCGAGGAGTGGAGGTCAGTGCCAAGAGGCCACTACAACGCCGAATGTGTTCGTAGGGAATGGTCTCGTGGATCTATCTGAAGCATGCTCGGGTTTTTATATGAACCGATGCCACGAAAGAACGATGGATCCTTTCTAGGTGATCGAAATGGAGGGCGTCCATTTCCACAAAGCTCCATCATGGCGTGTTACATCATTTATCCTCTCACCCAGATTACCTTCCATAGCATGTGGAATTCTAAGGTTGTGAAGCTCTTGATTTTATGCTTGCCCTAACATCCGTTGGATTGAGAAATATCCTCAAGTTTCCTCTCCAACCAGTACTTCAATCACTTACGCTTAAATGTATTCCTCCATAGTATTAACAACAAATCGCCTGTGAGATAGTTTTACACAAATAAAAATTGTCTCTCTTCTCCAAACCGTGCTTTCACATAAAGTACGTCAGTGTCGCCTTCTTCCGAGTGCCCCCTTCACCGTACTGCTCGTTCCATTGCTGCAACTCTCCCATGATACCAGCATCCGAGGACACGCTTGATCGAACCTGTGACGAAGAAAGCTCTTGAAAACCATTCCAAATCGAAACCTTCTCACCTTCTCCATTGCGTGCCGCATGTCAGCCATTGAGATTGGACGAATGTAGGGCGTGACTCCGGTTGGAGCTGCCGGCTTCTCAACCCCTTGGGCTTTCGCTTTCTCCATCTCCTGCAACCAAACAATCCCTTTTAGCGCGAGCTTGCTCTAAACACCACTTACCTTCTTTTCTTGTTCCAAGAGTTCTCGTATCCGGATGTAGGCCGCCGTTGTGCACAGATTCTACACGCCAAAGGAAACAACTCAAATTCCTGACAAACTTTGATTTAGACTACGAGCTCACTTTCAAATCGCTCCCGGAATACCCATCTGCCGCCGCTGCCACTTCCTCCATGTTAAAATCGGGGGAAAGATCCTCGTCACTAAGTATAACTTTGAGAATTTTCGCACGGTTCTCGGCATCAGGAACATCAATCATCAACCTGAAAAAAATCGTCAAGCCGATGTTTACAATTGTATTAGATTTACCTTCGCGGAAATCTCCGTATGACAGCTTCATCCAGATCGAATGGACGATTTGTTGCTGCCAGTACAATGACCCTTTCCTTCTCACGCGTTCTTAATCCGTCCCAGCTAGCCATGAATTCGTTCTTCAGCTTCCGCATGGCTGAATGCTCGTGGTCTTTACCTCTTCTACCCAACATGCTATCAACCTGTAGAGAAACATACATCAAATGTAACAAACATCCGATTGCATACCTCGTCAATGAACACCACGCTTGGCGAGATTTTGCTGGCCAAAGTAAATACTGCCTTGACATATTTCTCCGCCTCACCAAACCACTGCGAAGAAAGAAAACGGTAAACTTGAACACTATCACGTGGTAAGTGCTTACTTTAGATGCAATTGTGGACATTGAAATATTGATGAAATTTGCACCAGCCTCTGTAGCAACCGCCTTAGCAAGCATGGTCTTACCAGTTCCTGGAGGACCAAATAAGAGTAGGCCCCTACAAGGCTGCCATATAGATTCGTTAGACAAAGAAAAAAAGCAAATAACAAACACACAGACCTTCGTAAGTTGGCCTTTGACGAATAACTCTGGCCGTTGTAATGGAAGCATCACCAGCTCGCGTAGGGTCTCTTTCACATTATCCAAAGCACCAATGTGATCAAAAGTTACTCTAATCTCATCTGGTGGTATGACTTCGGGCAGTAAAATCTTTTCGAACTCATTGTCACAAACTACATCCTGCAACCCACTATCAGACAATGTCCCCAAGAAAATCGGGCTTGCCTTGAGAGTCTTTTTACGCTGAGTAGACCCTCTTTGAATTGCTTGGAGCTCTGCTAGACTATGCTCCAAACTGAAGCACCCATTCAAATACGTGACCAAAAGTACGAGGTTTTATGAAAACATACCTCTCCGCTTTGATGACGATCTTGCCGTTTCGATGTAGAGGCTCTACATGATGCTGTAAATGATGGCTAATCCCCCATCCGACCACCTTCTCGGCCACTGTAACAAGACATACAAATTACATTAAAGAATTGACAAGGGCTACCGCTTACTATCATGTGTCAATAAATGAGTCTGGATGTTGATTGTTGACAAGTCGTTGCACTCAACATTGGATGTGGACATAATCTGGACACATCAATTTAAAATGTGAGTAATCTAGATCGGGAGCAACATTACACACAATTCGCAGAAGTTGTCTGTTCGCTTCCGCTTTCAGCCTCTCCGTATCCTGTTCGAGTTGACGATTCCACACGAGTAACATATTTTCATCCTGATCATAAGCTGTTAGTCGGAATATTCGTACACGTTTCTTCATTACCTGTGGTTGCTGCACATATATTTTACTAGGAAACAGTTTAGCAAGCATCCTAGAGCATTTGGAACCATCTGGTTTATAGTCTTCAGCTCGCGTAGAAAGATGATCCTGCATGTTCCCTGTCAGTAGGTTTGAAATTACGGCCACGAATCGGAGGGCTCACCAGTAAAGACATATCGAGGAACGCCGTAAAATTGTTACCCATCTTGGAATTCGAATGATATGAACCAGAGCTCCCCTGCTTGTTTATAAAATTTTAAGAAAGCGTCCGTAATTGGTATAACTCATAAGTACCTTGTCCTTATGGTGGTCAGATGTGTGAGATCCAATGATTACAAGCTTCACATCGGCCTTTTCCAATCTTTCCAGCTTCATGTACCGCTCAAAGTTCCCCATTATAGATTTTTCCACGTTTTTAATAAGTAAAATCAACGGCACTTTAGAAGCTTCCGAAACCAGAACCTGGCCAAAAAACAAACTCCTCAGAACCCATTGTAGATAGATAATTCACGCCGTACCTCAATTAAAGAGTCGAGTATCAGCTTATCTACGTCCTCTCCAGAAGAATGTTCCAACCGAAGCTCTGAAACTGCACGAGAGATTCGTTGCCAGCTGTCAAGCAAGCAACAAAATAATCCTGAGCAGAACTAGACTCATGCTTCTAAGTATTGCAGCTATACAAAAGACTCTTGGGATTAACATACTAGGCGGAAATGCCTCATACCGCTGCAAAAGTAGCCGTGTCCATCCTCGCATAGATCTACCAGATTGTTGCCACCGTAAACTGGTTTATCGAACCGCACGCCAACCTTGCTTGGATTGTCTTCGAGTACTAGCAGCACACGTCCTCTCGCCCCAATGGACGGTCCTTTGCTTCTTTACAATACACAAACGTCAGCATTATAGCAGAGAGCACAGGTGGCTTACCCGTTCGAGCTTCCACTGACTAAAACAGCTAGGCCGGAAGGAGTTGCAGGACACGTAGGGCCAGCGAACTTTACTCGATCGCCTTCACAATATACACGCTATAGAATTATGCGGAACAAACGCGATAGAAATTACCTTTCTTCAACGCTCGTCGTGATGATTCTACCACTTGTGTCGTTGCCCCTCCCGCGCTCATTAGTGATGTCGCCAAATCCTTTGCCTGATCTTTCGATCTAGAACTCGGTAAAGGTAGCTCGACTGCCTCGGAGGTTTTGGTTCTCGTGGGTGAGCTAACTGATTTCGGTGGCTTGCTGTTCTCTTGGGGTACAGTATCGAGTATAGATGGCGGAGCCACGCCGTTGACACCATCCTGCAGCACCTGACAAGAATAAACACCATGAAAAATTACACGAACAGAAGAACAGCGAACCTCTTTCGTATCCACATTTTCACCATCTACAATTTGAATGGTCACCTCATCACTTTCCACGGTCTCCTCCGAGACGCTTACGGGCTCCGGCGTCAGTTCGTTAGCCTGTGAACAAACTTTCTATGATAGCGCTGCTAAAATTGATGGTACCTCCAAACAAATGCTGGCACTGTCGAAGATAAGCAGGTTCACCTGGAGCTTCTGAGCCAAAGCCTTGACAAGTGTTTCTTGAAAGATTTCCGAGCCTGGCATGCAATTGAATTAAGTGAAAGTGAAACCAACACGCAAAGACCTAAACCACGAACCTGGAGGTCCTGTCAACAGTATCCGGGGGCTCACAGACGCTAGCTCCGACGTGAATTTCACAAACTCCGGTCTCTTTAGATAGACGTAGAGTGAATCCAGCAACGCTGTCTTGGTACTCTCACTGTAAGCAGCACGCATGAGAAGGAAAAACAGAGAAGAAGACCGAGGGCTCACTTGAGAAAGTATGGAAAATTGTCGAGCTCGACGTCGATATCCTTCCACTCGGCAATTGACTTGCGAATGGCGTCCCTGTAAGCCTTGCCCTCTTTGGGCTTCCCAGACAATCTCTTCACCTTGTCCGACTTGTAGCGATGCCGATGCTCACGCAGCTCCCTCTTCCGCTTAGATCTCAGGGCGGCGAAGGCGGCCCCAAAGAGATACGGGAACGTCGTAGCCGTCATGGCCGCTGCTGTCCCCGCTGCGAAGCCGCCCGCGACAGCCAGCGCCAGCAAAAGAGCTCGATCCCTACCCGATTCCATGCTCGAAGCCACAAAATTTCAGCCAAGCGCGCGACGATCCGCTACGCATTCCCTGCTCGCCATGCCGGAGATGGATACATTCCCGCAGCTCCGTCCCCCCCGGCGCCCTACTCAAACCCTCCTCTCTCGCTAAAACATTAATAAGCTAAAGCCCATGGAAAAGAAGGGCGAGATTAGAGCCGTCGGATGAAGCTCACCGCAACAACGGCCGCGATTAATCACGGTTTGGCGCTTCATTTCTCCGTCGGATGGACGGTATCGTACGGCTGACAGAAAAGACAAGAACAAGGCTAGGGCTTTTTTTTTTTTACAGCACGTGTTTGTGATGTGAAAAGAGTGATGATTTGGAAGTTCTTTCTATCGATGATCGAGTGATCGAGTGTTTCTCTCGGCTGGGATGGGATTCATAGCTTTGATGGCTAATCGATAGCATTCTCTCCAAAATTCTACGCTGCTACTCGTCTCATCATCTAGATTGGTGAGCTCCTCTGCGAGCTCCACGCCCGAATCCGAGCTGGGATTGGAATTACCCGATGGAGTGTCGGGGCGTCCAGCGCTCGCGGTCGAGGAATCCGTGGCAGCAGCAGCAGCAGCAGCAGCTAGGGGCAATTGCAGTGGCGCTTGGAATTTGCGCTTCTTGCTCTGGCTCTTCCGCAGGATCGAATACCAGAAGTTCTTGACATCGTTGTCTGTTCTTCCGGGGAGCGCGGCGGCAATCACGGCCCACCTGTAAAAGCAAGCAACATCCATTCCATTTGCCATGCGCAAGCGTTAAAATCTCTGTACCTGTTGCCCATCAGCGAGCGTAGCTCCACAATCTTCTTCTTCTCGTCCGCGGTGAAAGGATCCTTGCGAAGATCTGGCCGGAGGTAATTCCTCCACCGTAGCCGGCAGCTCTTCCCGCAACGCTGGAGCCCTGATCACCAAGAAAGGTGGCTTGAGAACCAGAAAAAAAGCTATGGATATCGATTACCCGTCTCGTTTGGCACGCTACTCCAAAATGTAATTCCTTTGGTGATAACATAGTCGAGAAGTATAGAGTCTTCCTCAGGTGACCACAAGACTTTCCTCTTCTCCTTGTGTCTTGCCATTTCGTGATCAACCAAATTGATAATGTGTGGATTTATACCCACCATTGCCCTTCTTGCCCAGCACGTGGGAACCACACGGTTTTTTGTTGAGTCGTCCTTTCTTCTCGAGCAAAAAAACACGTGTTGTTTACATGAGTTTTACATTACTGAGTTGCAAGAAAATTTAGAAAACACGACTGTCAGAACAACATATAAATAGATAGATAGATTAGTATGGCGTGCAATTCATGAAAAAGTGAGTGTTACTGTTGCAAATTTCACTCACAATACATTGTCCATATGGCAATTTTCTATTGGTTCGGCATTAAATGTCATTTGGATGCCTCATGAATACCCCATGGCCTGATAAGTCAATGATGTCCCTATAATATGAACAATGTGCTATATATAGACCACATATCATCAAGTTTGACCCCATGACATAAGGATTCATTAGGTCATAGGGTTTAAGAGATGCTTTCTTGCTTGAGCACCCTGCTTTAGTGCTCTATTATTTGGCATGTTTCTTGGTAGTAGATATAAAAAGTAACTTAGTTTGCTAGTGATTGGTTTCAAATGTTTTTGTGGGCAGTGTTAGAAGTGGCTTTGATTTATTATTAGATTGCTCTCTATAAACTTTCAAGTTCCTACCATAAGTATAGTTCCCTCCTTAGTTTACTTCAAATTTGTGTCACTGAAACTTTTTTTTTTAGGTTTACTGGAAGACGTGGAAGAAGATGAAGTGGATGGCCTTCCATCCAATTTTAATGATTTGGACTATAGTTCAAGTGTGGATAGTGACAATAATGCTCTCCCAAAGGTTTGCTTAGTTTCCAGCCTCCTAAATTCATGATTTGCATGTTTCTAGGCCTTTCATAATTTTTTGCGATCAATGGGATTTAGTAGTCTAGCCACATTTGGCACCTAGATGCACATGAAAATCCTCAAGACTAAGACTATTGCTTATCCCACATGCTATTTTAGAATTTCCAAGCCAACACTATACAAATACATGCAACTTGTTGATCCAAATTGGAGAGGTGTATTGGAAGAGGTATTTCATCACGTTCGAACTAACAATGCCCTAAATCAAAGTGGCACAAATTGGGGGATTATCAATTCCTGATCTAGCTGTCGAACTGGAGGATACCGGTTTAGCCGACGCCAAATTGGTGAGGCCTTAGCCACTCACGATCCGACTAGGTTAGAACAAAGGCACATAATAAAGATTTGATGATAGATTTACAAGAACAAGGAGGTTTATGCACTTTGCCATATGGATTATGAATATTCTTTCATTTTTGCTTTTTAGTCAGCATATGTGGTAACATGTTTATTGTAGTATATTGCAAGCTTGTAAGCTATGGTTTCTATGTACATGTCATTATTTGCAGGGCAACTCATTATATTGTAGCTTGCAAGCTAACTACCTCCAAAGAATCCCATGCAATATTCAACACATATGCGTAAATTGTTCGTCGATTTGGAAGGCCTAAGCGCATTCGGACAATGCTCTAAAGCACAATAAGGTTGAAAGGGACATAGTCTACTGTTGGGGTCTTGCAACTAGGAGCTTCATATGTGAGACATCAACACGTAACTAGGTACTCACAACATTAAAGTTTTTTCGAATAAGGACTAAATCAAATTTGTTTTGCAACACATAAAGTGTTTGTGGAGAGAGCTCTTTGAGCACGTGGTGTGGTTTTATAAGCACATTTTTTGAGTCCATGGAAGATATAGAAATTCTTGATGGCACAACTAATTCATGGCACAACTAAAGTCTATGTTGTGTTTTTGCTCTGTACCTCAAGAAGAATATTTCAGTTGCAACTTGGAACCTCCATGACGTCTGTCTATTCAATGTGGTGATTACTTCAGAGTATCTCATGTTCCTGCAAACTTATTTCAACAGATGGAATGAGAGATTGGGTAAGAATTTTGGTAATGTTATAGAATTTTTTATAAATTGTGTTTTTGTAGGATTATGCCGGCTGTTGGTGGAAAAAAATATTGAAGACCTTCTTGGACCATTTCTCTCCAATGTCAAAAGTGCAACTCTATCAGAGGTAATTTTTAGAGCAAGAATATAATAATTTCTTTTAATCTATTTTGTTATGCTTAGTTACCTTATAGGCTTTTGACACTGTTTGAAACCAAGCATTTTTAATACATTGGGAGGGACTCAACTTGGACAAGCAATATCTACTTCATTTAGATTTAACAATGGAATGTGCAATCGCTAATGTTGTGAGTGTAAATCTACCACTTTACATCAAGAGTGTTTTACCTATAGCAACACCAATGAAGCGATGAGCTTTTGAAAAATTATACTTGGCTATACTCAGAGAAAACTAAGTGTTCTTTAGTGTACATTTCAAATTTAAATTCAATTTTTAATTTCCTCAATTTAAAGGTTCCCATGTTCAGGATTAGAGTTTACACCAACCATATTAATTGTGCCTTGGATATGGGCAATTTCATTTTATGACATAATTTTGTCGATGGTTTGTTCATTCTTCCAATTGATTCGTATTATCTAACTAAAGGCAAGGCTTCTAGTGCACATTCCCCCGATTGCAAAACCACCGCGAAGCAAGAGCACCACAACTGCGATAGTGGGTAGCTTCTCCTCGATTAGGTTTGCATAAACAATCCTTTGTGGTTTGTAAGCTCGAAGCAAGAACACCACATGCCTTAACAGTAGTACACACTATGCAAGAAACACCTCACGAGCACACACCCAAGAACTCGATGTTCTACAATCGGTACAGCCAACAATTCCACAAGACACACGCCAGCCACTTGATTTCCAAGCTCTGCAGCAGGGACATTAACTCCAACAACATCCCATCCACAGCTCCTGACTGCATTTGAGCAAGTAGAGTGCTACCTAACATTGCATACACTACAATATATGCAAAACCTCTAGCATGTTTCATTTTCCTTGCCTTCCCTGGAAAGCAACAACCTGAGCATTCAAAATGAGGAAGTTTGGATGCCTTATGCTCATGGTGTTGTCCAATCTGGAACGTTGCCACCAACACCAACTACAAGACATACTCACGAAAGCCCATATAGTGCCATTGCTACCAGCCCCGCAAATCCACCAGCCGCTACAACTCTCACAACTCCATCTACTAGTACAAGTGCCAGTACCTAACCATCTACCTCATGAAGTAACCAAGCGGTCCAGCTTAGTAAGTTTTTCATTTGTACCTATCTTTTTTCCATATGTTTTTTTGCGTAGGGTTGACAATGCTGCCACACCAACGAGCTTATAGTTCCCTATTAGTATTCCACAACTACTCCCAAGGATCGACATCGTCATCTAGTGCAGCTTCGACATCCAGATATATTCAAATTGACCCTCAAGGTGGGCTACCATATGAGCCACAGGTATAACATGACCCCATGCACTCTTCAAAATTTTTTTTCTTTAGATTTGTTTGACTTATTGTCATTTCACTATGCTATGGTTACAATGCACACCTATGCTAATAACAATCAGTAGTCTTTATCTTGTCGTCGTGGACATCATGGCAGTCGATCCAAAGTCATTGGTTGGATGTCATTTATGACACCTTTGGTCCCCTGGCCGTTCACCACAGTTCTTGTCACCAAGTGGATTGCAATCTTGAAAACTTAGCATGTACACTTGTATAGGCGGAAAAGAGAGCCATCTATGAAGGTGATAGAACTTGACGAGCTAGCAATGGACCTCCCAAAGTGTCTGATATGGGGTGGCTTATACTCCAGTATTCCTTTCCAACCCGACACGGCTCAACATGTGATTCTACTATCACTCTAAGCCTCAAGAATCTAACTTTCATCCATGACCAACCTAGGAGCATTTATCTGGTGTGCAAGGTAGTCCAATGGTGGTGAGGCCCATGCTAAGTCTGCAAAATTTAGCCTCAGCTTTATTCAGCTTTGCTACTAGCCTCCTCAAACATCATGGGGAGCTATAGCAAACAAGGCTAATGACAACTGGGTAATAGTAATATACTTATACAATATTATGGAGCATTTTACTGACAAACATTGGCTAAATTATCAAAAGCAAACCTGAGCACTCGATAAGAAGGATATTCGTGAACGTAAGTCATTATTTTTTTAAAGTTCCCTCCTCACAAATATATGTTTGGTTTTTGCAGTTGTAGTTGCTACAAATACCTTAACTACAAATGATGATCCCTTGGTGATAGAGCCATTTCTCCCGAGGCTAGCCATGTAGGAACCAAACCAAGACGAAAATAATGAAGACGAAGACTTTGCAGATGAAAAAGACATTCTTCCATTACCAAAAGAAACTTTCCCCACACAAGACAACATCATTGGAAGGATTGGGGGAGTGTTCTCTTTAAGCTTAGTTTTTCAAAAGCATAGTATGAGGATGTCTTTTGTGATAACACAATCCAGTAGCTCTTTGTTGAAGGAAGTATTAATATGCCTTCTTCAATTGTTGAGTCCACAATAACATGGTTCATTGAGAAAAGGTACATGTATCTATTTCTTAGCACTTAGTACCATTTAATTATTTTGTGCAGAAACCTACGTAGGAATTGGGTAGCTGCACAACAATTGAGAGAACTATTTGACACTGCTAAAACACTGTATTGTAAGTTCTTTTGTTTTTGCATTGAAAAGGCCATGCTTTGGCCATACAGACTTACTCGTACATGTTTGAGGTCGTCTTGCATTCTAGTAAGCAATGAATTGCCTATGAATTGGAGTTCCCTCACTTGTCCTTCCAGATTGCACTAAACAATGAATTCAATTGTTTCCAATTCACCTTCAATACTAATCTCCACATATCAAATTACAAAGTGGTCTATGCATCTAAAATTAGAGGAGCTTTGGTGTGGGAGGAAGCCACAATAGATGTGGGTGGGCCACATGCAAAAGCCATTAAGGAGGTTGTTTGCCAGATTTCAAGATCGGTAAGTTTAATTTTCATTTGGCTCACTAGAGTAATTTTGTGTTATAAACGCATGGACTGTTTGTGTTTAGGGAAGGAGTCATGTATTGGCATCCTAGGATGCCAGTGCATTCTAGGATGTTACAACAAAAAGCATAGAATGTGGTAAGTTAAGTTTAAAGCACAAGTTTTATATACTCCTCATTTCTATATGCATAGGCTATCTTTGTGGGCTAGTTGCTATTCCAAGCATTTAAATGTAATGCATAAGTATCTCGTGGGTGTATAATTGCAACATTAACAATTGTAGCCAGAGAGGTTCTAAACAAAAATGACTGATGACTTGCCCTAGGAAGACTATATAAGATGGACCTTAAGGCATGTGTGCCACATATCTAAAATGCACTCAATCAATTGTGATGTGCATCAAGCCTAAAGGAGGAGGGTGATTGACACAAGTCTGTGGATTCCATCTTAACGAATTTTGCAATTACCAACTACAATGCAGTGCTTGAGTCTAGACTCACCAAACTTGGTGAAGGTTATGAGCAGGCTGTGGAGGCATGCATGGCTGCAGTGGTCTAGTATTACCTATTCATTGAACCAAACATAGTGGGAGACTTACTTTGAGATGGCTTCCAACACTCAATGCGTATGGAAGCTTATTAGAGGCTTTACAAGAGTCTAGCATTGCTAGGTGGGCTTTCACTCATTGGGATAGATGCTTTATTACAAATCGTTCGGGTAAGGATGATCATTCTTCCCACAGAGTTCATCAATTGTCTAATCTTTGATAAGGACTTTGGAGAGAACTTCCACAACTGGATTGTGGACATCATCTGAAGTAACTATTTACTTTCACAAACAACTAAAACTCTTGTATGTTTGAATATTTTATAGATATAAGCTCGAAAGAGTTATCCAAGTTCCATCATTTTGTGATTGATTCTCCAAAGTTTCGACCGAGAGAGCCTATTTAGATCCAAGTTGAAAGACATGGTACATCATCTACTCGATTTCCCAGGTTCTTCACATACACACGAAAAGTTTTCTTCCCTTTAACATACCCATCAATGGAGTGGACCAAACACAAGATCCACCAGGCACTCCAAAATCTAGAGAGTTTATATGGATTGGGCTGATGTTGTGGAAGTATCATAATCTAGACACTTTCACAATAAAAAAGGTAATTTCTTAAAATATGTTTCACACTTTGAAAGAGACTCTTTCTAGTTCATTGGCAAAGTTAAAAGTAAGAATATTCAAAATATTCCATAAATGCCCATTATAGGCACTTGTGGCCCTTTTTTGGCTTATGCTTGCCTCACTAAAGGTAATCACTATAGCTTCCAAAGTAGCTCCCAATTGAGTCAAAACTATTGAGCTTGGATGCTATATAATGCCCATCCTCGCTTGAGGAATTTTCAACCTGTTTCATGGTAGAACTAAAAGCACCCTCTGGGTCTGTGAATTCGTCTTTGCTTGTATCTCGAGCAGTAACATATCCCTCCCTGTTACTTTCTTCAACAGGACCTTTCCCCTCAGTGATTGGCACAACATTAGGAGTAGTTTTGGGCTGCCTTGTCAGAAGGATTGTTGAGCCTTGAGAGGAGGAGGCATTATATAGAATCCTTGGTTCTATCCCTTATTAGATCCATTGTTGTGCCTCAAAGAATTCATAGAATCCTCTTTAGTTTACCATGCCAAGAGGAAACACAAAAACCTCAAATATTGCAAAAGGGTTAGAGCATATAAGAAATTATCACAAATCTACTCTTACCAAAGTGAGCATAAGTTTCTAATCCTTGAAAACTCCAATTCTTTGGCAACATACATTAGATAGTTTTGCCCCATTCTTGGAAACCCTTTTTACAAATTTCAAAATTTAAAATGGTTATGATTGGAAAATGTTGAAAGTGTCCATTGTTATTTGAATGTTATTGCATGCAATTGCAACTTCCATATTCTCAAATTTCCTTCTGCATGCTCCTCTTGAGAGAACTCCAAGTCTAAACATTAACATTATGCACTTTTGCGTAATACATAATTGAAATATAAGCCCCACCAATTCATGGAATTGGTTAGACTTCAATTTACTTTTGAGTTATATGTAAATCTTCTAAGCATCATGGTACAAAACTAAAGTGTTGAGAGAGCTACACTAGAAATCAATGCCAAGGATAAGCTTAATGGGATGCATTAGAGACATGATTCTAGACAGTATATATCCATGGCTTTACAATGGAGCTAGATGGAGTTCAATTATGCTTGCTATGAACATTATGTTAAAAGAGATGTGCCAAAAAAGGATAATTCAGTTCTTTTGCCATGAGTAAGATGTGAGAACATAGTGCTCTAGATAAAGTAGTATGGTATGCAATTGTCCATTTGGTTTGCAACATTAACAACTTATGGGATGAATGGGTCTATGGGCCATGAATGGCTCCATTCCATACATAGCATAGGTCGTTGCTATGGGCATGATGCCCCATCCGGGGCATAAGGATTGGATATTTGTAAAATATTCTATGCTTGTGTTTTTTTCACTCATAATACACATGGACCAATAGCAGGCATACACGTAGTGTGAGTGAAATCCATGTAAAATCCACCCTTTTACGAATTGCATGCCATAATTAGCTTCTTTATAATCCCCATCCACGCTAGCCAGAAAACGGCGCTGTCGTTTCAGTTACCATTTGCTGAAGTGGTGATTATGTTCTCCACGACTTCAGGAACACTTCGGAGTCTCGCTGGAGATCCGTTCTCGGCCGGCATCGATGAAACTAGCTTCCGGAGACCGTTGTTACTGGCTTTCGTGTCAGTGATTGCGGATGGATAGCAGCGACTGAAACACGCGACACAGTATGGAGAAGCTACCTGAGTAGAGAGTTGTTAGTGTTGGATCATCTTATCGGTTGGTTGGCCCGCTTACCTCCAAGTACGCACGGCACGAGGACATGAAGAGATTCGCTTCGCTGTCCTTGAGAATCCGCGTCGAGGAGTAGCGCAGCAGGGAATCCGAGACACTGCACAGTGCTTTCTGGAACTCGAGCGCTAGCCTGTTTGACAAGCTCACAGGAGCACACAGCCTTAGTTCGTTAAGAGCTGCCAGAATGCCTGTGAAAACACGATTGTGAGCGGCTCACGAGAGGAAGTGGCACGTACCGTTGACAAACACGGCTAGAGGTGGATGTTCGATGAGAGACTGAGGAGGGGCGTTCTTGTCCTCGGAATCTCTGCTGGACAATCTAACTGAAGGCAAAGGAACCCAGCGGTGGGAATCGAGCATGTGCTGTAGACATAAAAGTTTATTCTTCCTCTCAACACTCGCTGAAGAAGAATTACCTGGAAGTTTTGCAACGCTATCGACAAGTTCCGCACAAATAAGTCATACACGCACCTGCAAAAGACAATCACCAATAAGAACTATCCCCCGGAAGAGCTCAAGATAACTTACGATTCAAAAATTGGTGGCAAAAGACCTCTAAAGTCGAGACCCACCCGGCCAAGACTCACCCCGCAGTACTGCCAAAAGCTCAAAACGTTGAAGCAAAGACTAGACATAGGATGCTCAACGTACCATGCACAAGTCTAAAATAAGAGCCAAGGATGCACCCTCGGTGACTTTGGGAAGCAACTCGCGCAGTGTGTCCAACAGGCAGGTTATGCGATGTGTTGCCCAGCTAAACAGGAGGCCACCATCCGAGGGCTCAGAAGTGTCATCTGAAAAAATAGCACGATATTGAGTGACAACATCGTGAATGTTCACACGATGGCACTCGGTCATGCTCTTCAAATACATGTAAGGACTGCCTTGGTCCAAATCGTCGAGAAGGCCAGCAAGCCAGGCCTCCCTACATTTTAAAAACTGAAAGCATCAATTCAATAGGTGCTCACGAGCATTAAAACTGGAAGGTAGCTTACTTGCAACCGCAGCTCAATGTCGTGGAAAACTCCCAGTCTACGTAGATATCCTATTATTCTGAGGCACTCCGGAACCTACAACATTCAAAGCTCAACAAAGTATTCGACTGTTCCACGAAAACTACCTGAATATTGGACCGCAACCTCTGGAGGAGCTGTGCAAGAAGAGACTGCGTGTTTTGTCTCACATCCGCTACGAGAGACTGGATGACTGGTAGTCTATAAAGCAACTACAAAGATGAGACGAGAAAAAATACCGCAAACTAGATTGACGCACCTCATATGCATGGTGGCGAGCTTTGCCACGAACGCCTCAAGATCAAGAGCCTCGTCATAGTTACCATTCCGCACACACCTGAAATCTGACTCAAACAAAAGTAAAGACAGAGAAAATAAGCCCGCTAACGTAAGGTACTTACGTATCCATCAGCTGAGGGATCTCAAGTAAATCCAGCAGAGTACTATGGTTCGCAAGCAATGTCCTGTTAAGCTTGCGTTTCTCAAGAATTTGCTGAGCCGAATCCATGAATTCATTGCAGCCGGCGGTCAGCTTAGGAATCTCTGCAATCTAAGATACGAACAAGTTAACAAAAGAAAATCTAAGCGAAAAAATCAGGAGCACACAAACCATGCCGAGCGATAAAAATCTAGCACAAGAATCATCTCAGGCAATCGAAAACAACTGAACAAACCATCTCAAGAACACATCAGAAAAATCATCTCAGAGCTAAAATCATCGCAAACAATATAAGAACACACAAGCGAGTGAAACGAATCATCAAGCAAATCCAGATAAATGTACTTCACCAGGGATTCCACATGCTGATCGATACTAGCCACTTCCTTGGTGATGAACTGGAGCGATTCAGCCGCCGTGATGAATGCTCGATAATGCCCCACCGCGACCTCTTGCATCTGGCGAGAGATCCGCTCGGCATCGACCCGCAGGAGCTCCGGTTCCTACAATCGGTCCGATGGATCTAGAAATATTTCGTCAAGAACTAGATCTAGACTTACCTTGTGGAGGCGATCCAGCGGATAGGAGAGTAGATCCGAGACATAGGACTGCTGGAACACATTCTCCAGTCCTGGCGGAAGCGCCTGCTGGTCGGGCGCCATCGCCATTCCTTCCCAGCAAAATAAAATAAAAGCTACTACCGCGATAGGGTTTGGTTTAGCTCATCTAGGGTTCTTCAATGTGGAAGGGAGGAGGCGTCTCAGCTCCGCCGCAGCAGCCCGACGATGATGCGCTCCACGATCAGCTGGCGCAGCTGGAAGCGCTGCTCAAGAGCTCCAGGAAGAACTACAAGCAAATTCTCAAGATCGCCGAGCAAGGTGTGGAGTTTTTGCGAAGAGAATGCTAAATGCGATGTGTTTTTCGCTTGTGTAGTGCTGGCGGTGCATCCAGATGACCCGGATGCGCTGAATTGCAAAGTGGTTGCTCTGATCAACAGTGACAGCTTTGGCGATGCTTTGGCTGCGATCGACTCGGCAGGATCGGTGGTGGATCTGAAATTTGAGAAGGTGAGGATTGAAACATTGTTCTTCTCCAGTCAAGCGTTTTTCATGACCTTTGTTTTTTCCTTTGTAGGCATATTGCTTGTACCGTCTTGGTCGCTTCGCGGAGGTCTTACAGATCTTACAAGGAGTGGAAAACAGCCCAGGTGTTCTCCAACTCAAAGCCCAGACTCTCTTCAAGACAGGTGATCTTAACGCCTGCGTTGAAACTTACGAGACCATTCACCGCGAGTTTAGCATCGAGTCGAGCGAAGTGAAGAGCAATGCCATTGCTGCCTATGTCTCTGGAGGAAGATCCAGGGAGGCTTTCGAGCGCATGCGATCGATGCAAGTCAATCCCAAAACTCTTTTCGAGCTGGCATATAACGTCGCATGCGTTTTGATAGACCAAGGAGAGCTCTCGCAAGCCGAAGAGCATCTACTTCTGGCACGTAGACTCGGGCAGGAAATGCTGCTCGAGGACGAGTACAGCGAAGATGAGATTGAGGACGAGCTTGCTCCAGTAACAGCTCAACTGGCCTATGTGCTACAGGTAACCACACTCTAGTTTTCCATGCGGCTCGATTCTTATGACATTTTTGTCTCAGTTACAAGGACGTGCAACCGAGGCCACGGAGAGTTGCCTTGCAATCTTGAACAGAGATTTGAAGGAGAAGGACCTGCCAACCTTGGCTGTCGTTTCGAACAATCTCGCAGCTATTCGCAAAAACAAGGATGCATCCGACTCCTTAAGGAAGCTCGAAGTTGTCCTGAAGAAGGATGCAGATGGTAAACGTCTCCAGTTTCCCGAAGCCTTGGGACAGAAGATGTCCATCAATCAGAAAGAGGCTCTAGTCTATAATTACTTTCTACTGCTTCTCAGCACCAACAAACTTAACCAGGTGAGCTTTCCGATTATCTGCCGCTCTTTTTTTCTTAAACATTCTTGCTGTTCCAGGCGCGCGAACTTATACCATCACTCGTGGAAGAATACAGCGGCAGCAGCATGCCCGTTGTTCTCAAGGCCTGCTTGTCATTGAAAGAAGGAAAAATCGATCTTGCGGAAGAAGTTTTGGGGGAGTACGCAGAGAAAAACTCCGAAAGCACCGTTGAGCCGTTGCTCCTGTGTGCGCAAGCCAGGACCACTGCTGGACACTATCTGGAAGCTGCGGACGTCCTCCGGAAGGCCACAGATATCAGGCATATGCCAGCGATAGTGGCGACGGCAGTTGATCTCAAGGAACGCGGAGGCGACGTGCAAGGGGCCCAAACCATCCTGCTCGAGTCTGTGAAATGGTGGGAAGACAGTATGGAGGAGACGAGGGACGAGATAGTAGAGCTGCTGCTGCACGAGGCTGCGAAGCTAAAGCTGAAGACGAAGGACTTTGCAGGGGCGGCTGAGTTATATGAAAGGCTTGCAAAGAGCTCTTCTTCCAAGGCAGTCGGGCTGGAAGCCATCACGGGGCTCGTCTCCTGCTTTGCCGAGACCGACGTGGCCAAAGGAGAGACTTTTGAGAAACAGCTCCCGGACGTAAAGGTGGTGGACGCAAGCAAGCTTGAAGAGAGCTCTGTGGTTCCGGGTGGCAGTAAAACGATTCAAGCGAACGTCGAGGAGAAACCAGCCGAGGAAAAGAAGAGGAAGAGGAAGAGAAAGCCTCGGTATCCGAAAGGCTACGATCCAGAGAACCCGGGGCCGCCGCCGGATCCAGAGAGGTGGATGCCAATGCGGGAGCGGTCTTACTACAGGCCCAAGAAGAAGGACAAGCGCACTGCACAGCTGAGAGGGTCTCAAGGAGCGATTTCCAGGGACACTTCCTCTTCCTCGGCAGTAGCAGCAGGAGCAGCAGGAGCAGCAGCAGGATCGAATGGTCCCAGCACTTCCAAGCCTGCCGAGACAAGAGGTGGTGGCAAGAACAAGAAGAAAGGCCGGCGGTGATGCTCTTCTCTCCGAGGTACTCGAAGCTTTCTTTTTGTTCTTCCAGATCATGAGAAACATTTTTGTTAAAGCTCTTATGACAAGTTCTCCAAGTTCTTTGGTTTTACAAGACTTTAATGGACCAATCTTTGTCGATGGATACGTTTGGCAGCCTGACGGCCACAGCGTTGGATTTGAGCTTGGCTCGCAAGACCGGAGGCGCTGCCTCGATGTCGGCCTGCCTATCTTGGCCCCCCTCCTCCACAAGAGCTCGGTGTGCTGCCGGGACTTTCTTTGCATCCAGGCCCAGGATGATGATCCTCTCGACCGTGGAGAGAGTCTTGTAGCTCTTGCTGGCTGGTGAGGCCGAGGACGAGGAGAGTTTGCCTCCCGAGAAGCTAAAGCGACGGTGGATGAAAGCTCCTTTCTCAAACTCGTAGCTCTTGCCGTCGTCGATGTAGAGCTCTCCTTGTGCTTCTTGAGTAGAGTTTAGCGCGATCACCTATAAAAGTTTGTGCTTCGTGAGATTCTCGTTCAAGCGATGGAAGTAAAAGAGGATGGCTTACCAAAGTGTATGGATCATCCACCATCTGGGATGAGCTGCGCCTAAACCTGTCCTTGCGAGGAATTATCGTTCCACCCCGCTGGAATGCAGGGATGGAGTCTTGTGAGACAGCGAGCTTGTAAGTTTTGCCACCATTGAAACTTTGGCCGGTCTTTATGTCAAACCATGGCTCGGATCCTGGCAGATAGACCGTCTCCAAATTCGATCCCTGAAAACAGCAACGAAGTTGGAAAACATTTTATTTTCTTCTCAAGCAGAAGTTTACAACTTACTTCCGTGTACACGCTGCGGACGAGCAGTGCATCGCCGATAAGGAACTCGTCGTCCATTGCAAACGTCTCGGGATCGTTCGGATGCTCAAACCAAAGTGGTCGCATCACAGGAATGCCTGTTTCGTGCGCTTCCCGGAAAAGAGTGTAGTAGTAAGGGAGCAGTGCATAGCGTGTATGAATGGCTTCACGAATCCGAGACGTGTATGGCTCCCTGCACAACAAAAAAGCAGTTTTTCATAGCCTTCTTAGGAAAAGCTAGCAAAGAACTTCATACCCAGGAATCCATGGTTCTCTCCGCTTTGTGTCAAGGTGAGCATGAGCTCTAAAAAAGGGATAAAACGCTCCTAGCTGATACCAGCGAGTCAGTAACTCCGAACTAGGATTCCCAAAGAATCCTCCAACATCCGCCCCTGGAAGAGCATTGTCAAGGATGTCTTTGATAGAAATGTATCATACCTGTGAACGCGATTCCAGTTATCCCGAGAGACAAAATCATAGGCACTGAAACTCTGAGCTGTTCCCAGTCTGCAGTGTTATCACCAGTCCAAATGGGACCAATCTTCTGAGTTCCGGCAAAGACAGCTCTTGACAGAACAAATGGTCTTTGGCCTTCGCGATTCCGAAGGCCTTGCGTTGTGGCCATATGGAAATAGTAACCATAAGCATTGTGAACGTCACGGTGCTCAATGCCGTTATAGTGAAGGTTGTCTCGCGGCATGGAAACCTGGAAGCGAACGTGAATCCCTGAAGAAAAAATCGAGCAAACGTACCTCCGGCCCATTAAACACGGATGGCTCGTTCATGTCATTCCAAATGTGAAGAATCGACGTTGAGCCAACGTAGTTCTTCAGCGTGAACTTCTCCGCCCACCAAGCACGAATCTCCGGATTCACCAAGTCGGGGTAGGACGATGAGCCCGGCCAGCACCAGCCATCGTAGTCGCTTCCATGCGAGTTTTTCACGTAGTAGCCTTTGGACGTAGCTTCTTTGTGGAGAGCAAAGCCTTCGTCCCTCTTGATGTGTGGATCCACTATCGCCACCATATGCCGACCTTTAGCCTCGAGCTTAGCTTGCATCTCCTTTGGAGTGGGAAAAGTGATCGGATCCCAAGTGAAGTAGCGCTTGCCATCGGTGTGCTCGATATCCAGCCAGATGACATCATACGGGATATCATACTCGTCAAACTTCGCATCAACCTGAGCAACATCAGCTTCGTCCTTGTAGTTCCAGCGGCACTGATGATATCCGATGGAGAAAAATGGTGGCATCGCTGTTGTTCCAGTGACACCGGTGTACTGCTGCACCACGTCCTTGGGTCCAGGACCAACGAAAACGAAAGCGTCCACGATCCCAGCCTCCGCAAACCAATGAGTGTCGATGCCTTGCTTGGACTCCTCCCCGGCGGCACCGTCCCAGCCTGGTGATAAAACGTCGATGAGCATCTCCGCCGCGTTGAGCCAGAAGAACCCCGAGGTCCTCTTGGAGCCGTGAGAGAGCATAAACGGGATGGATCCATACAACCCGAATGGCGACTCGGCGAGGTACTCGAACACGTCCAGGTTGAAGAGTCGATAAGGCTCCGAGTGTTCTTCCGTCCCTCTCGTCGGCTTCAAGGCCAAGCTCGTTGCTCGCTCTGGAATCCCGTAGACGTGCTCGGCACCGTGGAAAGAAACGTCGAAGCCGATGGATTGAGGTCCATATGGCCTCGAGTCAGTGTGGCTTCGGAAGTGTTCCTCCCAGTTCTCGCCTTCTTGCTTCTCCCGGCGCTGCTCGAAGTGAAACAAGCCTTTGCCGTTGACGGACACAAGCTTTTCCTGTCCTCTGGTGACATACACCTGGAACGGCTCGTGTTGCAACACGACTTCATGACCGGAAGAAAGGTAGAACGTTGAGAGTCCATCTTTCGCTGTGATCCGCTGGAGCCACAGCCGCTTCTTCTCCAAACCGTCCACAAGAACGTCGGGGACTTCGAAACGCTTCTTGCCTCCGGGGACGTTCTCTTGGTCGACTTTGATCCGCAGCACACCACCTTGATACACCATGAGCTTGAGCACCAAGTTGTCTGACCCGGTGGAATTCTCGGGGATTAGCCGTGCTTGCACGAATCCATCCACAACTTCGGCGGGCGAGGCTCGGAATCCAGAGCTCCCGGGTTTGCGAGCGCGAGAGTCCTTGCAAAAGGGAGTCTGCTGGCACTTTCGAAACTCCTCGCTCTTAAAGCATGTCACCGTGTTGAGAGCAAGGAACACGAACACCACCGAGGCTGCGAATGCGAAGCTTCTTGCCATCTTTTACAAGCCTGCAAGGAAAACGTATGAAAAATGTAAGCCAAGAGCAAAGAAAAAACTAGAAAAACAATCTAAGATCAAAGAGAGACTCCCAGGAACAATTGCTTCCCATCAAGCCAGCGCTAAGAAAAATCTCCCAAGAACAGCCCCAGCAATGCAAAACTCCAGACACCAAAAAGCCATACCAGGATCGGCCAGGAGGAAGAATGCGCCGATTAAAAACCCTCTAAAACCCCTATGACCGAGCAAAATACTCACAGAGATCGATGGAGCACTCACAGCGGTGTTGCGCGATCAGGCCAGCATCCCTATCGATCGATCGCCGGCGTCGTCGCGTCCAGGGCTGGATCGGGCGAGGAGAATATACCCTTTTACATAAAAGCATGGCCCTAGCCCTAAGCTATGGCGGATCTCTTTAGGTAGAGCGCGATCCAATTGAGCTTGTTCTTGGGAGAATTCGCGCGAGCATGGCCGGAGTCGATCTACATTCAAGACGAGAGGTATGATCCGATGAAATTAGCGGCGCTTCTAGATTCATGGACAAGGCAAGGAAGAAGAAAGGGCAGGACAAGCGGGATGTGACGCAAAACAGGAAATCTAGAGGCCGAGAGGAAGACGATGGTGCCGCTGGCGCGCAGAGAAGCTCCGCGCCTGAGATCGCGAAATCGAGGCTATCCAGTTGCTTTTCCAGGTCTGGGGGTTCGTCTAAGCCCGACGCTGCCAGTCGCGGGATTGAAATTTCGGTGAATAGCAGCAGTGGCAATTGCGCTGCTGCTCCTCCTGGAGAAGAAGATCTGCCACCTGGTTTTAGAGAGACGACTGCCAGTCCGGTTGGTGTCAATCCTGCTCAAAGTCTCTCCGGGGGTTTTACGAGGAGATTGACAGAAGAAGAAAAGGAGAAGTTTAGGAAGGAAAATAGGTGCTACACTTGTGGTGAAGAGGGACATACGTACTTTCGCTGCCCCAAAGGAGAGAAACGTTTGCATGCTATCCAGGCAGAGAAGAACGCAAGATCCAACTACAAAGTAAGCTTCCTCTCTGTTTTTTTTTTCCTTTCCTTTCTATCTTCTGTGTGGCTCACAAAGTTCTGTGTATTTCCTTTCTTCAGCTCTGGCGTGATCCTTATTGGTCCTATAAATCTCAAAGTGGAGAAATGCAGGGTCCTTTCTCGCTGCTGACGCTTGCTAGCAAGCTTCACGATGGTTACGTAAATGGATGGTGCGAGGTAAAATCCAACACTATTCTCTAAGCTGGCTAACTTCTTTCCTGTTGTTTATGAAGGTCATGCATGTGCATGTCCAAATCGCATGCTTTGCTCTCGGCAATCTTTTGGAACTAGCCGACCAGCAAGCTCTCGGAGATTTGATTCAAGCCAAGGTAGCCATGCAGGATTCGACACCGGACGATAATCCATCGTTGAGCCACGTCCAAACCAATCTGTATTTGGATGTCGTCGATGAAATTGTCGATGATCTCGTGGACGCGTGCTTGAGTTCCAGGCGGAAGCGGGGAAGATCTTTACAAAACGACAGCTATCCAGCCACTGGATCTGTCAAGGCTGAGGCCAGTGCTCCTGTGGCATCACATCCGGAACCAACAGCTCATAAACCAGATTGTGACAAGGTTAGCGTTCTATAGTACGACGTTTTATCTCGTCCAACATTTTATTGTTGCAGGAGCCAGTATTTGAGCAAGCACAAGAGGAAGTTCGGCAAACAACAAGAGCCGAGATCCTAACGCTGGAGAGTATACAAAAAAGGCTTCATACAACTGTTGTCGAGGCAGCTAAACGAACGATACTAGATGCTGCCGTCGGACAGTATTTAAATGGGTGGATCTTGCAGCAGGAGAGTCGGAAAAAATCCCAGATTGAGCAAGAAGCTCTTTGTCAGAAATTGGTTAGTTTTTTTCTTCGCAATTGGCAACTAACTGGAGTTTCTTTTCAGGATGATGCACCTACTGAGTGCGATGTTGATAAAATGGCCTGTGATCAGCCCATACTTCCACGAAAGTCGCATAAGCAAGAAGACGGGAAGCGACGAAATAAAGCGACGAAGCGTGCACCAAGTACGGGCATCGAAGAAAATGGAGCAACCGTAAGAGAAGAAGCTGCAGATGAACGTGTTCCACGAAAACGCCTCAAGAAGCGGAAGGAGCTGGAACAAACTCCATCTGTGGAGAACAAGGAACAGGGAAAACTCCAAAATAGCGAAATGCAAGATGCTGTCGCCGCCGACTATCAGTCTCAGTCCTCGCTTCTTGAGACACATCCAGCGGCCGACATGTCAAATAAGGAAGAGGGGTCTCCAGAAGTGAACGTGGTGAAAGCTGGAAAGCAAGTGGTGAAGAAAAAACGTAAGTCACACAAGGATAACGACGGGGGACGACGAAAGAAATCGAAGAAGCGTGTGGCGTCGGGCGTGGTGGCGGGGGAAGATAGTGGAGCGGCTTTACGTGACGAAGTAGCCCTGGAACGTATTCCACGGAAACGTTTGAAGAAGCTGGAACAGGTTCTTGAATCGCATATGATGGAGAGAACCGAAAAGAAAGAAGAAAGTCCACAAGAGCATGGAGGAGAAATGCTAGCAGAGGAAACAATCGAACAGGATCACGAGGAAACAACAACTGAACAAGATCAGGAGAACAAGGTTCCGGAGCTTTTCTCTGATAAACCATCAAGCACAGTGATAGTCGTCGAGGAGGAGAAAGGACAAGACGAGACTGGAGAAGCAGCGCCGCTGATCGAACTCGATGAAGACACTTTTCAGCGTAAAGTTTTGGAGGCTGCTGAACTTAGTGCGAAGTACAGAGATCTGGACATGACGATCAGCGTAGAGGGTGATGCAAAAAAAGCAGATCCTTTGGCTTCAGTAAGCTGTGCGAGGTGCTACGGGCTGAGCGGATGGCAATGGCGGGAATGGCCTGGTAAGGCAAGACATCCTACCAAAACAGCTGCTGTTCAACAACATCATCATCCACAACCACAACAGCTCCGCCACCATCAACATGAGAATAGAAAGACAGCAGCATCCTCTCAAGTCCAACGGAGCAGAAGAAACAGAGTGGAAAACCGATTGCTGGGAACACATTTTAAGGTGCATTACTGGTTTTCGAGACGTATGCTAAAGCTTGTTCTCTTCTCTTCATGCAGGCCCGCACGAAGAGTTTGAAGTTTCAGCGCAGCAAGATACATTCCTGGGGCGTCATTGCGCTTCAGTCTATAGAGCCTGAAGATTTTGTCATCGAGTACATTGGCGAGCTGGTTCGTTCGAAAGTGAGTATGATCTTTGCTTGTTTGGAGGCGAACTACTGCCGATGATTCTTTAGGTGGCGGACTTGCGTGAGCGTCGATACGAAAAGATGGGAATCGATAGCAGTTACTTGTTTAGAGTAGACGCGGAGAACGTCGTAAGTGTCACAGTTCTGTGTTTTCTTCTGACGCATTTTTTCCGTTAGGTGGATGCGACCAAACACGGGGGCCTCGCGAGATTTATCAATCACTCTTGTGACGCACGTATCCTCGTTGCCAATTTGTCTGTCCTAACACCTTCCTTTTTCTCTTCCAGCCGAATTGCTACACGAAGATTCTAACTGTCGAAGGACAGAAGAGAATTTTCATTTATTCCAAGAAGCATATTAAGGTTGGAGAGGAGCTCACGTACGACTACAAGTTCCCGTTCGAGGAACAAAAGATTCCATGCCTTTGTGGCGCTGAAAGGTAAGAGCAGCACTCTCAAAGTTTGGCTCTCTCTCTCAGCTTTGGGCTGTGTTTGCAGGTGTCGGCTTTATCTTAACTAAGCGCTCCCGTGCTTGTCTGGCGATAGCTTGTTCTATTGCAGCTCCAGACTCCTCAGGTACATGGATTAAAGGATTTGCCAAAACATCTAGGCTTGTAAGCTGGATTTATTTTCATATATTAAAAAGCCCAGAGTTTTGCGGTGATGAAAAGCTTTCGCGTTTTGTGTTTTTGCAGAGTCTGGAAGTGCGGCCCCAAAAAGTCGTTCCAAAGGACCGATTTGGTACGGCTGAAATTCTCGTTGTCTGCCTCACTCTAATTTTTATCAATCAGGTTCCAGGCGTAAAACAGAAAAGCATCCATCTCCTTTAGAGGCGCTTGTTTTATATATGGATGTAAGTTCGTTCCTTCAGTTTGATAATATCTCTAACACATTGCAATTCCAGAAAAGTTCCATGTTGAAGAACATTCGAAAGGCCTGAAAATTCTATTTTATTTCCCCATTAGCAATTGCTTACAAAATTAATAATGCCAAAGCTTTTATTACTAGAAGCTTTTTTATTGCAAAGCTTTAGAGAAAATTTAATATAATAAACCTCTAAACTCTTCATGTAAAAGAGTGATAAGATGTTAAGATGACTCACACTATAGTTATAACTATAAAACAATAATAAAACTTATGAATATATAAATATATATTCACAAGTTTTAAAGCATTAAATACCTCCTAATAGAAGAACTTTTAAAATAATAGGTTAAATGTAAGCAATAAAAATATATATAAATATAAAAAAATATATAAAATAAATTGTTACACCTAGCAACACTTGGTTTGCCTAATAGTAGTGTTATTTTTACTTGTTCATCCAATTGATCAAATAAATTTTATAATTATAAGCATGTTTCTAATTTATAAATACAAGATTAATCTTATTGCATATCAACCATTAGATGATAGAATAAAAAAAAATACTAGAAAGAGTTTAAGAAAGTTTATAAATTATAAACATGTTTATAAAGTATAAATACAAGATTAATCTAAATGAATAACAACTGTTAGATGGTAGAATATCTTAGAATATCCAAGTATATTCTAGGTATATCCATTATCATCCCAGCACCAAGTTTGCTAAAAAAACGAAAAATAATTCAAAAAATAGTATATAAGAGTTTAAATTATAAAAAAAGTTTTTAAACAAAAGTATATCTTTTTTATAATTATTTAAAAATATTGGGATACTTGGGTTAAGTATTTTTGAGTTTGAGTAATACTAAACTGAGTAATCTTTCGGGAAGTCCAAATTAAAAAGTTTACACTAAATTTTTATTAATATAGTCATCAAGCCTATTTAAAGTGTTCTTTAATTAAATAGTTTTATGAAATAAATTTTGAAATACATTTGTAAAACTTAAATCCTCTTTCTTTATTTTTACCAAAGTTATCCTCATTTGATAGTACTGATTTGCCATCTAATAAACCATAAAATTCAGGAATTATAATATATAAATCAAACCAAAATTAGTGCAAAATAATATAATTAAACTATATTCCACAAGGAAAGATAAATTTTTTGGCCTTAAAAAAAATCTACTATACAAAATTTTTAATATTTATTCTATTATATTGCCATATGTTATAATTTATATTTAAATCACAAATTTCACGAATTTCAGAAAGTTAATAATTGAAATTTTAGAGAATGGATATTAAACACAATCTCATATTTAATACACTATAAATTTTGCCCACTTTAAAGGTTTTCTAAATTTATCTTTCATTTTAAATTTGATATAAATTTATAGCTTAGGTAGAAATTGAAAAAACAACCAATAATACAGACCTTTTGCCATCGTGACAATAAAAAAAAAATATCTAAAAGAACTAGTTAATAAATAATTTTAAATACCTGAAGTTACATTTGCAACACTGCTCCCCCCCTTAGGGAGGATCGACATTTTGTTGATGTATATTTGAATCTAAACCATCGGCAAGGAAATAACTCTAAAAAAAATTTATGATCATATTATATAAGAAATTTACCAACTTAAGTTAAAGTAACTTTTTTTTCTATTTAATTAACCCATTTCCATTTTTTTACTTAGAGTTTTCCTTCCTTCACTTCATTTTATACCACTTTTTTTTTCCTTCTTTGCTTTATCTTTTTTATAGGTAGATGGATGAGTTAGAGTTAGTTAGTTCACTTAGAGTTTAAAAGCACAAAGTTAGATTGGATTTGAGATTTCAAAACTTTGGAATTAATAAAAATATTATAATTTTTTATGGTATGAAAAAAATGGAGTCTATAATTTTTAGTGGCATGAAAAAGTGGCATGATGAGGTTATTAAAGAGGCACTTGAAATAGAAAAAGAATTAAAGAAATAAGAAGGGATTAAAATTTTGAGAGAGTGATGTTGATATAAATGTAAAAATTTGCTTAGGATGAGATAAAAATAGAGGATGAAATATATTTTGTGATGGTTTTTCTATAATATTTTGAATTAAAATGAAATGAACTAAGAAATTGGCATTAATTTTAATCACTTTTAATGAACAAAATTCTATTAATTATTTCGCCAAGCTAAAGGGCAATTCCATATGTCTATGTGTCCTTTAAAGAAAAATTTTCTAAAGAGGTAATTTTTAAGTTTTTATTCTATGCACCCACTAGTGATATATGGAGAAATTTGCACCATTTAGTATTTAGTGTTCCCCGAAAATGTCTTATAATGTTTGGAATTTAGTAAAACAAATTAAATAATTACTTTTAGACAATAAAAATAATTTAGATGATCTTACAAAAAATTTGCGATGCGTTGCATGTAGTAATGTTTGGTTTGCTTAATAGTAGTTTTATTCCTTATTATTAATCTAATTGATCAAATAAAAATTTGTAATTATAAACATGTTTATATTTCATAAAAACAAGATTAATCTTATTGCATATCAACCATAAGATGGTAAAATAAAAAAGAATATAATAGAAAGTGTTTAAGAAAGTTTAAATAAATATATTCATAAATTATAAATACAAAATTAATCTAAATGAATAACAACCATTAAATAATAAAATACCATATCTAAGCATGTTCTAAATGTATTTACTACCATCCCAGCCCTAAAGTAAACCTAAATTTTGGAATCATTTGCACTCAGAATTTTGATGAAAACTCAATATTAATATTATTAATATTATTAATGCTTAAAACAGAACTTTGAAAACCCAAGATCTCGGCCGTTCGTTGTAGATGCCCAATATTTCTTTTGTGATTTTAGGGCTTGTGAGGGGTGGGGAGCGCGGGTCTCTCAGCTGGCGGATTGACGCATTCGCTGTTTTCGATCGCCATCGGCAATGCACGACAATGTGCTGCTCCATCTCTCCTCCAATTCCAACCATTCAGACTCGCTGCCGTCCAAGCTCGCCAAGCTCGAAGCCAGGATGGCTGGGAAATCTATCCCCGCCGCCAAGCCCCTTCCCGACGCTTCTCCCTCTTCCACAGACTCGGACGAAGATGTAAGTCTAGGCCACTAGACAGAATCTCAACTCCCTGTTTTCTTCTTTTCCATTATATGCCACAGAACGCTGGAGACTTTATGATCCAAGCCAGCGCCAGCTCACAGAAGAGAAAGACATTTCAAATGGACGAGTCGCGAGAAGTAAGCGAATGGACAGTCACGTATACATTCTCGCTAAGTTTTTTTTTTTTTTCTCCAGGAGGAAAAGCTGGATCACGAAGGCAGGACAACAAAGAGCAGCCGAGGAATGGGCCAACGAGGCCGGGGTGGAAAAGCAAAAGAGGCCAAGCGTCCTCACTCACCACCTTCTGCAAAGGTAGATTTTTCTTTTCTATTCAGTTTGAGCGTCTTGTATCGTTTCCTGAAGGTTGACAACGGGAATGGTGCGGAACACAAGGTCAGTGTTGCTCTCGTGGGGCTTTGTTTTTCTCTCTAATAACTCTTCTATCTTATTGTTTCTCAGAGGTTTTCGGAGGACGAGCGACTTAAGGTACGTTTTTATATTTGATACGTTCGTGAGGTATTTCTTTTTCCTGGCAAATTTCAGGTTTTCCTGAGAGATGTCTTGTGGAGTAAATTTTCTACAGAGGATCATTGGATAATCTGTTGGTAGCAGGAAGACCTGATGACATTGAATGCGAGGTGTGCGGGGCTTGGTGAGGAGCTTGACAAAGCTAGATCAGAAGCTTGCCAATACCAGAGAACCTGCCAGCAGCTAGAGAAGGTGATATGCTGTGTCTTTTGGCAATTTCGGACTTCATTCTTGAAATGTTCTCAGGAAATAAACGACATGAAGGAAGTACAGCTCGAGAAGGAGCGAAAGGTAGACATGAACGTTGTTGCCTTTTGCTGACTCGTGTGTGGTCACAGCGATTGAAGGTCGTGTCTGATCTACTGATAGCAGTTGCAAAAGGTGAGAGGCAGGAAGCAAGATTAAGGGTCCGTCAGGATTCAGTCCGGCTTGGAAACGTGGGAGTCATGCGGTAAGTGACTCTATGAAAGTATGATATTGTATCCATAGGCTTGCATCTGGCAGGGCAGGCACCTTACTGTCTGAGGTTTGGGAAGATGGACAAGCATTGAAAGACATTCAAGCTCGTCTGGTAAACTCAAAAGTTTTCTGTGCCAGCGCGTTATATTTTTTCTATGCAGAAATCGCTCTTGGAACAAAAAGATGCTATTGAGAAACAAAGAAAGCTTCTAAAGAAAAAACAAAACGGTATTGGTTTCGGCTACTTTCCGCAAAGCATATTTCTTATAAAAATTCATGCAGATAAAACAGATGCTTCGGAAAGTGATCAGGGACTTGCCGAAGAAGAATGTATAGCAACGGAAGAGATGTACAGGGCGCGGATTTTTTCGATTAAAAGGGTTTGTGAATGTTTCACTTTGGGGGATTACTGACTACTCTTGTACAGGAGGAGGAGAACACACTGCGAGATCGCGAGCGCTATGAGCTAGAAAAAGCCTGTTTCATTCGCGAGCTCAAAAGAATCAGGGACGAAGATGGATCGCGTTTCAATCACTTTCCAATCCTCAACAAACGTTACGCGTTGCTGAATCTCCTGGGAAAAGGCGGCTTCAGCGAAGTATACAAGGTAAGCCCCACTCAGCTGGGATCAACTTCCTTTCCAGAAAAGTGATGTTTGTCGCGCTTGTTAGGCTTACGATATGGTGGAATACAGATATGTGGCCTGCAAGCTGCACGGTCTTAACGTCCAATGGAGCGAAGAAAAGAAGCAAAACTACATCCGTCACGCCATCCGAGAGTACAACATCCACAAGAGCTTGGTGCACTCTCACATTGTGAGGTTGTGGGACATTTTCGAGATCGACCACAATACTTTCTGTACCGTGCTACAATACTGCGGAGGTTTGTCTACGCTTTTCTTTTGCATCAGACTTACTCGTGGTTTGCAGGCAAAGATCTGGATGCCGTCTTAAAATCGACGTCAGTGCTTCCGGAAAGAGAAGCTCGGAGCATCATGGTCCAGATCTTCTCCGGCCTCGTATACTTGAACAGAAGATCGCAGCGCGTCATCCACTACGATCTCAAGCCTGGGAACGTCCTCTTTGACGAAGCTGGCGCGGCCAAACTCACAGACTTCGGACTAAGCAAAATAGTGGAAGACGAGGTTGGCTCGCAGGGAATGGAACTCACGTCTCAGGGCGCAGGGACATACTGGTAAAACTTTCCTTCCATCGTCGAAACAATACAAGCTAGAGAGCCATGACTTTGTTACAGGTATCTTCCGCCCGAGTGTTTTGATGTGAACAAGACACCACTTATATCGTCAAAGGTGCGTTGTTCTCTCTTTTATTTCTTCAGTGGATAGATATTGAAACTACTGCGTCCAGGTTGATGTGTGGTCGGCCGGAGTGCTCTTCTATCAAATGCTATTTGGGAAGAGGCCGTTCGGGCATGACCAAAGCCAGGAGAGGATTCTACGCGAGGATACAATCACCAAGGCGAGGAAAGTGGAGTTTCCAACGCGTCCTAGTGTCTCCGCTGATGCCAAGGTAATGCGCTTCGTTTCCACTGGCGCTCCATTCTATTTCTTGTGCAGGACTTTATCCGGAGGTGCCTATCATACGATCAAATGGACAGGCCTGATGTCTTGACCGCAGCACAAGATCCTTACTTGTCCTATGTCAAACGCAAACCTTGAGAACGAAGGAATGACCGTGTAAGAAAAAACCAGAGCTTACCATTATCAACACTTAGAAACAAGCCTTCGATTCCAAATTGGTGTTCACGGCTCCAGTGCAGCCAAAACAATACGCGCTGCCGTCCGGCTTGGACTCTGTAACGCTTCTGGCGGTTGAATCATGTGTAGCACCGACTCGGCGGCTTTAGCTTGATCTTCTCTGGCAGCCACAGGGTCTTCCAGAATATTTCTGTGAAGATAGACAAAGTTTAATACCAAAAACTGCGAAAGAGTGAATTCTTACCCAAGCAAGCATGCCAGGCGGTCTGGTTTGCAGGAGGAGAAAAGAGCTTCTGGAACAGCAGGCGAGTCCAGCAAAATGTTTGGCAAAGAAACATACTTGAGCACTGTCCGCTGCTTGATGATCCACTCGGTAAGAATATTTGCTCGGTACGCAACCACGCAAGGCACACGACACATTTGTAGCTGCATTACTGCCGTACCCGACGTAACCAAGGCAGCATCACTGGCCTGCGAAAGGAAAAAAAAGCAAAGAGCATGAGAGTATGAGATGGCGACTTCGAAACTTAACTGCGAACGAGTTGTACTTGTCTTCGAGGGAGGCACCCGGGACGACGACTACAGGCAGCCCCCAATCTCTCACAGCCATGTCAATAATCCCGGTAAGCGTGCGATTTGGAACGGTTGGTATAATAGCAGCCAGGCCAGGAAAGCTTCGAGACAGGTGTTTCAATGCCGAGCCATAAATCGGGAGCATTTTATGAAGCTCCTGCGCTCGGCTTCCTGGAAGCACTGTAATAACAGGTGATTCTGCAAGAAAAAAGCGAGAAAATAAGTCCACAAAACCGAAATAGTTTGATAATTTTACCACTTGTAAGGTTATGATCTTGCCGGAACTTCTGGCCATTCCCGTGAATCATCCACTTGCTCTGAATCACGTTAAAATCCTGCAAAAACGACGTAAGAAACTGGAGTGTTGCTTTGCTAATCAAGAAGCTAGCCATACAGCAGATTTACCAGCCAAGTCAAATGCGTCGTCCAGCACGGGATGCCCAACAAACGAGGCATTTAAGCCGCTCGACTTGCATATCCCTTCTTCAAACGGAAGAATGCAAAGCAAGTGATCCACAACTTCTGACAAGTTTCGAAGTTTCTCCTCGCCCCCTTTCCAGGCCCAGAAGGACGGGCACACATAATGAACACAGAATGGACCCGGTACCTTCGACTTTGCACAGAAATCTAAGCAAAGAGCAAGGTGACATAAGAAAGAAAAAACAAGAGGAAGCGAACTTCACACAAGAATACAAAATCAAAGCATAATATCCGTACCTTTGATTTTTCTTAGAAAGCGAAACGAGAAACCTTTAGAGTCGATCGTCACAATGATATGTGGATCAAATCGGACAGCGGCGTCCACGGCTTGATGCAACCTCCTCTAACAACAAACAAAGCTTTTGGTAAAAGAGTAAAAGCACCGAATTGACAGAGCTTACCGATAACGTTATCAAGTGCGGCAAAAGCTCCGGTACTCCCATGACCGCAAGATCATCCATCTCGAAAATACTCTTCACTCCCTCTCGCTCCATGCAAGACCTGGATGAAAATGACCAATGCCAGCCAGTTCCCTCGAATCGAAGAACTTACCCACCGATGCCAGACAGCCGCAGAGAAGCCGGCCACAATTCTCGCATTGCCGCCAAGAGGCGCCCGCCGATGACATCACCGGACGGCTCTCCAGCCACGACAAACACACGCACAGGATCGTCGATCGTCCTCCTCCCCGGAGAAACCGCATCGCCAGACAGCCATCTGCGCCACACGCGCCGCGCCGGGCAAGAGCGCAGTAGCCATGGCGCCATAGCCCCGCCCGCTAGAACCCTAAAATCGAAAACCCAAGCCCTAAATCTGACCGTTGGAGGCGCGTTAACTACGGTTAGCCAAACAACCACGGCAGTTAAAATCTGACCTCTTCAAACGTCAAAATTCACTCACATGGCACAAAGATACCTTTGATGCCGACACTCCACCACCTTTGATTTTTTGGCATTGAAGAAATTCTGCGAGCTAATTGGCCGCGTTACTCGTTCGCCGGTTTTTTCCAGTTTTCCCGTCCACATCACCTCCACGTCACCTGACATACCATGCCCGCTCACGTGGCAGGGCTCCACTGTGGAATGGGCTGTTTCTTGGATTTTATTCTCGAGCCATAGAACCTCCAGTGTATAAATGCCATCATCTCTGGGCGAGCCAAGTAACTACACTCCAGGTACCCTCCCCCAATTAGCTTATTAGATTGACTCTAAACACTTCATCCTTCCTCCTCGTTCTTCGGCGTGTTCTTGGAATTTTTTTTCCTGCTGGCCTCGCTCGATCAGAAATGATCCAACAAGAGCAGCAGCACCTTGATGTCATCTCCCAGATCCCTCCAAATCCTCGCGCGGTGCTGTTCATCGCCCACGAAGGAAACGGATCGCCGCTCACGTATTGGGAGCCGCAGCCGCAGCAGCCGAATTGCACGGGAGTCCCCGACCACGTCGCCATTGTCAAGCACGCCCTCAGCCGCGGCTACGCCGTCATCGCCATCAAGAGCGTCAAGAGCTTCTGGCAGGACTGGCCGCCGCAAGCCTCGCAGGACGCTCACAACGTAGTGTCCGTCCTCGTCTCCTGGACCGCGCAGCACGGCCTGGAGCGCGCGCCGATCGTCGGTCTCGGCTCCGGCTCCGGCGGCAACTTCCTCTCCATGCTCGCGCTCACCATCAAGTTCTCGGCGCTCGTCTTGATGGTGTCCCCGGGCCTCCACAAGGCGCTGGAGCGAGCGAAGATGGCCCCGGCTTCAACTTATCCTCCGGTTCTGTTCGTCCATATGCCGAAGGACCAGACCACCGCGTCAAAGATCCACAGTCACGAGCAGCTGCTGCGAGCAAAAGCCATACCTGTTGCTCAAGTCTGCTGCGAGGAGTTCCCGATCGCTCCCTTCTACTTTGCTGCGCACATCCCCGGCTTTGGATCCGATGCCTCCACCAAGCTCCATGCAGCGATGCAGGCCGAGGGCGTCATCGACGGTTTGGGACGTGTTCTATCGGCTCCCCGGCCTCCGGATGTCTGCCTCATGCTCGAGAAGTTTGATGTTTTGCCACTCCAGAGGGACGACCACAGCTATGCGAGGCTCCTGGCTGAGCACATTCACTCGCTGATGAGAGTCGCGCAAGGCCGGCATGCTACCACCGGGAGAAAGTGTCCGGAGATTTTCAACTGGCTCGACAACCAGGTGTGGGGGCATCCACTTCTTCCAAATTTTCCACATCCAAAGCCACCACCAATTGCCACCTCGCAGCATCGGCTGCCGTTTTCGAAGTTCCATCACGGGAACTGAGAGATCTCTCTCACAATCACTCTAGAGTGATTGCCTCTCCACGATCGATCCGCGCTCCACGAGGTTCCTGCGCTTGCAATGTGTTTGTATTGTAACCGATTACTGCAAACGGAAACAGTAGTGTCAGTACTAGAGAAGATTAAATCTGATACGCAGAGCTCTTACGTGCAAGATCCACGACCTGCTTGAGCATCAGATGCGATATCATCGGATGTCATCCAGTTATCTATCCATATGTGCTACACTGTGAGGAAAAATAAAATCTTTCAGTTCAGTATCATTAACAATGGTCTAAAAGCTCACAGGGAGGAAGAACGCAAGAGAGCAAACAAATATTTCTTCTACAAGCACACAGATTTCTCCTCCTCCTTTGCATTCAACACAGGACAGTCTATCTCCGGCAGAAGAAGCAGATCAAACGCAACGAGATCAAGCGCGCAGCGCAGCTATTCCGCTCAAAATCTAGCGATGACAATGGCGTTGGACTAGGATACCTTTGGGAATGGCGCCCGCCGCCATCGCCGGAGGAAGAGCGCGCCGGCGAAGAGAAGGAGAAGCCCTAGAACGTTCTTCCGTTGAGATCGATGTGATGTGGCAAACGGGCTTCCGTAAACTACGAGGAGGAATTACTCTCCTGTTTGCATTACCGCTTTCTAGGGTTTTAGCGATCGATGGAGGCGCGAGGGGAGGCCGCGGCGGATGACGCGAGCCTGGCGGAGATTCTAGCCCATCCAGACATCTCCGCGCAGCTCCATCGCCCGGAGGAATTCTCCAAGGTAAAATTTGCCATCGAAATATCGACATTTCGTGGGGATTTCTCTCGTTTCTCGTCACGGGCAGTCGCAGCACGGTGGCTCGCACAAGTTCCTGGTGAGCATCAGCGTTGTTGATAGCGCCGGGCCATTGCGATTCGTGGTGGATTCGAGCGATACTGTGGAGAGCGTTATCCGCCATGCGCTGCAGGAGTACGAGCACGAAGGCCGCATCCCGCCGCTGGGAACTGATCCCAGGCCATTCGAGCTCTATTCTGCTCACGACATCTCGGAAGGTAATCTCTCTCGGCTTTTTCATTCATTGTTCTACCATTTCTTCATGTGTTCTAGATGCTTTGCTTGTACAGCTCTAGAGGATAAGCTCCGGATTGGCGATGCTGCTGGAGTGCGAGACTTTATCCTTCACAGACGTCCCGATGGCGATCGAATTGCAGCGCAAAAGGATGATCACCCAACTTCTTGGAGATCGAGACTAATTGCAGCGGTGGCTGCTCACTTTGGCAGCAACAGCAGTGGTGGTGACTCGCATCGCCCGTGAATTTGCGACCAAGGCAAGTTTCCATTTTTTTTTTCTCCTTTTCGTTGCTCTGGAGATCGAAAGTAACGCTCGGTAGTTTCTCTTCACCTCGCCCGCTGCTGCGAGTCCCTTGCCATTTTTACAGGCGTTTCCAGCGAGGACGGATCGAGCGAGCGATCCACGATCAAATGAACGATTCCCCAAAATGCGATCATCGATAGAGGCTGTGTGGCTCTGACACAATCACACACACCCACACACACGAACAGAGAGCAGGCGATACGAGCCATTGGTTTCACTTGTCATAATAATACTTTGCTCTTTAATTTGTTGCTCGTCGATGGGGATGTTACAAGCGAATGATTTCCAGCGCGTAAGCTTTTTTTGCGCAGCACGTGGCCCCGGCGGCTCACGTGACGTGTGACGGGGGACGTGGGGTTCGAGCCGCACGGGGCCAAAAACGTACTGCCACGTCATGACCATAAGCCATGAGCTGGCATGCCATGTTACATGCCCCCATGCCGCGTATGCATGGGGCAATCATGGATTGTTGATGGTGGCCGTTAAGGGGGAATTTGGCAAATCGGAGGGAATCCGATCCCGGTCGTCGCCGGTCAGACAGCCCCCGTCAGTCCCCGTCAAGCCCGTCGCCAGGCCTTCCGAGCTTTAGGCAAATCCGCCCACGTGGTTACCGCCACCTGGCGGCGTTCCATTGAGCGCGGGAAAAAACTGCCGGAGATTCGCCGGAAGCGGTTAAAAATGCAAACGCCTTGGGGTGAGAGCGCGCCAGAATCGTGGTCCAAATTTCCTTTCAAAGGGTGGCCGAAAACCATGGCCACCACCCCGGTCTCCCGCACTGAATCCAGCAAAAAAACCCTCAAGCAATCTAGCAAGCCCAAACGACGTACTCGCAAGCTCATTCCCGCATTGCCCTAAGAATCCAGCAAATTGGAGGGAAAAAAACTACAGGAATTCCCCACAAGAGCTTACTGGCGCTTATAATCGATTTTTTTGGCGATGAATGAGTCCATTTTCCATAAGCTATCGAGCGCAGCAGGTCTTAAGGCGTATGCATTGCGTGAGTTGAGGGGGATGTGCCTATTCGCAATCAGTCAACGCTATTGCAACTCATTAGATCCAATTAAAAAACTCGCCCCACACGCACAACACCTTTGCATGCGGCCTGCGTGCATGGGGGCCTCGTCATTGACACTCCCCCAAACAAAAGCACAAACCCTAGAAACCCAAAAGGGGAAGGGAAGGTAAAGGGGTCAGTCAACTTTCCGCCCTTTTCTTAAACCTAGGGAATATACTCCCCCGCCCATAGCAACGGTTTATCTCCTGTTGTCTGCTCTGTTGGGGAGATTAATTAGTGAGCCTTAAATTAAGTGCCTGGCAGACACACTCTCCGCAAGAATTGATTTCGCGGGTGATGCCGCGAGAGCTAAAGTAGCTAGGTTTGCCAGATTTTGTGGGAGGGCGAATATTCCCGACATTTAAATTTCAAATCCAACAAACTCGCAGTACGCAACGCAACAGCGCGAGCGGCTGCCACGGCAATCTAAAAAATGGATCCAGCGGCAACAGCAAACGGATTCTTATATAATTCGATCTCGTCGCGGGCTCTCCCGGAAGCGGCAAAGCAACAATCTGGATGGCGAATGCCGTTTCCCATGTCCAAATTCTCGCAACAGCAGCAACAGATCCAATATATGAAACGAAACCGGAGAGAACCAAAGTCCCAAAATCTCGCAATCGATCCAGAAAACCCAAAGTATTATCGTACAAAGTGTTGTGTTTTCTTAAAAGGATTTGATACAAAAGTTCCCACAAAGGAAAGAGAAGAGGACATATGTTAGTTCTCACGTAAGCTCCCGAGTTGAGAGTGTTTGCCCTGGAGGATTTTGATAAGAAAGGACGAGAGAGAGAGAGAGAGAGAGAGAGAGAGGAGAGGTTTTACAAGAGACAGATCGCGAAAAACCAAGGAGCTTACTTGCGTTGTGAGCCAAGGCTATAGCCGATACGATCGATCGATCATGGAGAGACCGATCGATCGATCACGAGTATCTGAGCTCCGAGAAGAGGCTCTCGCCACACCTGGCACAGAGAAACCGCGCCGGGATGGGATCCGGGTCCGCGATCCCGCCACACCGCGTGTGCTGCCACACCTCGCACACATCACACGCGATCATCCTCTCGCCATCGTCGTCCTTGGCGCCGCACGGGCAGTCGACGATCCAGCTATCGTTGCCACCCTCGTAGCGCCACTCGTTGTAAACGTCCACCCCGGACCCTTGGACGATCAGCGTGGAGCCCGACTCGATGGCTCCGAAGAGGAGGTCCTCGTTGTCGCCCTCCAGCTCCGGGATGGTGTCCACCCGGAAGCCGCGCATTATGTGGTACGTGTCGCGGAACCCCCGCTGGGCCTCGAGCTTGAGGTCGCCGATGGTGGCGTGCGGCGGTAGCACCACCAGCTCCGGCGGCGGGCTGGGCCGGTTGCGGCACGGGTCCGAGTCGCGCAGTATGACGCAGCACATGACGCGCAGCATCTCGTCGTCGTCCACCACCGCCTCCCACGCCTCGTTCCCGCCGCCGCCGGCGATGGTAGTACTACCGCCGCGGCTGGTGCTACCGCCCGCCAGACCCGCTGCCGCGGACGCCGCAGCCGCCGCCGCGGCTGCCTTGCGCGTCTTGTGCCCGCAGTAGTCGCGGATGAGCTGCTTGGTGTCGAGGATGATCCGGCTGGCGGTGGGCAGCGCGGTGAGGATGCTCTTGCCGCCGCCGCGCTTGCTGGCCGGCTTGTAGCTCTCGAGGACGTTCTTGTACATGTAGACGATGTCGCGCTGCACGTCGCTGCGGCTGATGTCGCATGCCGCCGCCGCCGCCACCGCCGCCGCCACCTCGCCGCCCTTGACGCTGGGGGCGGTGGTGGTGCCATTCCCACACCCGCCGCCACCACCATTTCCCATGGCAGCGCCGCCGGCACCATTGCTGTGGTGCTGCGGGTGGTGGTGGATCGACGCCGTCACGTCTTCGAGGCTGTACTCGAGCACCTTGGTGATGGGGTTTACCGCGCGGCGCACGACGTGGCCGCCCACGACGCGGTTGCCCAGCGACTTGAGCACGAAGTCGAGCAATCCGGTGTCACCAATGTAGACCCGCGCGGCGTCGCGCACGTCCTGCCGCGGCATCCACTTCTTGTCGCAGTTCTTGAGCGCCTCCACGATCACCTGCGTCGCCAGCTCCAGCCGCTTCATGCTCCACCGGCACGGCATGTCCGAGGAGAAGGCCGCGCCCAGCGAGAACGAGGAGATCGGCGGTGACAGTGGATTGGAATTCGGGCTGCTGCTCTTGCGCGATGGTTCGTGGTGCTGCTGGAGCTGGAGCTGCTGGTGCTGGTGCTGGTGCTGATGCTTGGCGGGCTGGAGCAGCGACGAGGAGGAGGAATTGGCGGCGGTGGCGGTGAGCGGCAGCCGGGATTTGAGCTCCACCATGAAGCGCACGAGATCGCCCACCGTCTGGAGGGCCTGGCCGCTCATCTTCTGGTAGAGCGACACGATCTCCAGGACCTCGGCGTCCACGCCGTCGAAATGCTGGATCATCACCGAGAGCGGCATCCCGCGGATGGCCTCGATCGCCTTGGAGTACATCTGCTGCGTGATCCCGAAGCTGCCATGCCCGAATTTGTAGCCCCAGCGGCTGTACCACGACTCGCCATACGCGACGCAGTGGAGGAGCCGGAGCTCCAGTCCCTTCTTCTTGGCGATGTCCTCCACGCTCACCTTCCTAGAACACACAGGATCATGAGAAATAATGGGAATTTCTTCTTCCTCGATCGAGCAACCGATCGATCCATGAGCGAGAGAATTCTACCTGGCGCGCAGCATGGCGCAAATTCGGTCCCAGAGATCCATGAGCTCCCGGCCCGACGCGAGCTTGGATCCCTTCTCGCGGCCATTGACGCGCAGGAGATGGCCATAACCGTTGCAGTGGAGGAGGCCGTGGAGGAGATGGTCCTGGAGATCGAGAATGCTGCTCTGCGTCGCGGCCGCCTCGTCGTCGATCTCCGGCCCGGGGATGATAAAGTGGTAGCGCCGGATCGACACGGGATGGTGGCTCCATCCTGGCGAAGAACACGCAAAAACACCCAAATGGAAATCAGTGGCAATTGGCGGCGAATCGAGGTGAGAGTAGGGAGAAGGGAGAATTCGCGCGCCTCACCTATGCAGCGGCAGTGGTCGCAGTGTGGATGTATTGAATTGGCCGTGCTCTCCTCCATGATGAGGAGATTCAAGCGCCCCGAGGAGAGATTCCTGTCGTCCTCGAGGAGCAGTGACCAGGTGGGCATTCCCTCCACCGTGTAGGGCTCCATCTCCGCGCAATCCGAGAGGAATGCCCGGATGTTGTCCCGGAATGCGCCATCGTAGTCGGCCGGGCAGCCCGGATCGCCGAAGGTGTGGATCCCAAACACGCGCTCCGCCCGCCGCTTCTTCGATCGGTGGTGGTGGCTCGTCGCCGCGCTCGTCGTCGTGCTCGTCGTCGTCGCTGTGCTCGCCGTGCGCGCGTACATTTCTACACTAGATTCGATCGACGAGGTGTCATGGAGGATCGCGCACCGCTTCTTCTCGGCGGCGGAGGAGAGAGGAGGAAGCGGAGGAGAGCTCACAGGCTTCATCGCTCCTTTTTTAAAAGAGAGGGGAGAGAGAGAGAGGGACCCCAGCGCCGGGTTGAATGGCAGCCATGGGCATAGATCGCCACGTCATGGATCCCCGCCGGCCACGTAATGTGGCTCACATGGGCCATGGCCCATCCTGCGTCCGACGTGGCGGGCTCGCAATCATTAATGCGATGAGTCGTTCGTTTTTGTGTATGGCGAGAATTTCCTTTGGGAGCAAAAAATCGGGCTAAATGCCAAACCGGATATGATGAGCTTTTTTAACGGAAACAAAAAGGGGAGAGATAACAGAAAATGCTGTGTGATTCTATTGGAGATTCTGGATGAGAGGACAAAATTCGGGATTTGAGGGTCGTGTCCAGGTCGGGGGATCGATTCCCGCCCAATTCCGGAGAGACGGAGCTCGTGGGCTCAAATCTCGTGCACACTAGCCTCTTCTAGGGTTTAGCTCCTTGAGCTTCTCCATCCACTGCTCATCGGTTACCTTGCTCGCCCAGTTGGGGCAAAAACCTCCAATGCTGACGTTCAGCATCGCACCCATGATCGCCTCGCACCGATCCGGTGGGATTGGCGCGGATCGCCTCGCCTCGTCCTCGCGATTAGCCCGCGCAATCGCGCTCTCGCGGCGCTGCTCTTCTTCTTCCTCATCGGGGGGATCTAGTAAGTTAGGGTTTGTCGCATCCTCTTGCTGGGCGTGATTGATCTGCTGCAATGCACTGCCACTCACATTCCCATAGACGGTCAGCTCCACGCCATTCACCGTGACGACAGTTCCACCACGCAATTCCTTGGGCCGATCATGACAATCGCCTCCATTGCATTGAGGCGGATTCATCCCTCGCTACAAAGAACCCTAAAAAATACCAGCAAAGTAAAAACTAAGTGTCTCAGTTTCAAATGATAAAAATCAAAGATCGCGCCAGACAGGGGTCGAACCTGTGACTTTCTGCTTAGGAAACAGACGCTCTATCCACTGAGCTACAGGCGCCGGAGTTGTTCGACTTTCTGGCAACACAGTAATCATCCCAACCAAAATAGAAGATTTTGTGGAAGACCCGTGCCTGGCAGGGATCGAACCTGCGACATTCTGTTTAGAAGACAGATGCTCTATCCGATTGAGCTACAAGCACAAGCCGAGAAAGTTGAAGGTGCCCATTTTTTCCTACCCGGAAGTACACAAACTTTAAGAATCTCTGGGCGGACCTTTCTTCGCGGCCTCGGCAGCAGCCTTCTCGGCCTCGATCCCGTTAACAATCTCTTCGATCTCGGGCTCCTCCAGCAATTTCAGTCCTTGTCTGGTCATCACAGCGATCTCGATGTTCTTGCCACCGCTCTCCACAACCTATAGACCCACGAGTTCCAAAAGTTAGACAGATCCGAGAGAAGCGCAATCCAAAACTCTTTGCTTACCTCCAGGAGAGCTCGGACAGCCAGCTTCACCGTGTCCATGCCCGATGTCTCGGTGTAGTTCTTCTCCAGGTACTCGCGCACCGAGTTGGAGTTCCTGCCCGTCGCGTTTGCCTTCCACGCCGAGAAGGTCCCGGACGGATCCGTCTGGTAGAGCGATGGAGCTCCAGTGTGTGGATCGAAGCCGATGATGAGCGTCGAGATCCCGAATGGCCGCACTCCCCCGCTCTGCGTGTACTTCTGCTGGAGCCCCGCGATGTAGCGTGTGATGTACTCCACCGTGACTGGATCTTCCACCGTGAGCCTGTGGCTCTGGCATTCCACTCTCGCCCGGTTCACCAGGACCCTGGCGTCGGCTGTGAGGCCAGCGAAAGCTAGGGCGACGTGCTCGTCGAGGCTCAGGATCTTGTGCACCGTCCTGGACAGAGATTTCGGAATCAGGAGCTAGAAATCTAGAGGTCTAGAGATCAGAGGGAAACGAACCTCGCGTCCTGGAGCTTGGCGGTGGATTTCTTCTCCACGCCGAGCACGATCGTGTCAGTGCCGCGGACGCCGACGGCGGCGTTGCCCTTTCGCACGGCCTCCTGTGCGTATTCCACCTGGAAGAGATGGCCATCGGGCGAGAAGACGGTGATCGCCCTGTCGTAGCGCCCAGACGACATTTTGCTCAAGAACCCTAAAATCTAAGAGCCCTAGCAAAAAAAACCCTACGTTTTAATCGTGATGTGATCGAGAGTGGTATAAAATCTCCGCGCGCGAGCAGAGACCGGTGAATTTCGATCAATCACCGCTGGGCTCGCGAGAAATCCAATCAATCCTTTGCCAATGGAAAGATCATCGCTCGCGATTGTCGGTGGCGTGGTGGATCGTGTTTGGAGCCCTTGCCCTCCATGGCTACTGTCTCGTGGGCGATTTTAAGGAGTGCTTCCCAAAGGGTGGGGCGATCGCCACCACCGAGGATTGCTGTGGGATCGTACGGAACGTGACACTGGAATGCGTGTGCCAGGCACCAGATGCCGCGAAACAAGGGGTAAATTTGACCAAGGCGCTGAGTTTACCGCTCAAATGTGGCGTCGTGGTTCCTCCTGGAACTTTCTGTGCTGGTAAGTAACATTTTTTCACCTTGTTCTTCCTCTTAACTATCACTCGCGAAGGTCTTCCACCTAGGATAGTTTGGCTTCTGTAATGCTTGAATATAAAATAAAAGCGTCTCGTAGGAATCGAGCCTCGTAGCGCTGGCGTCAGCATAGGTGTAACGAATCGCCTCGTGCCACATGGCCGTTCCAGCAAAACTAGTAAATTTAGGGTTTCAAGCAGGGGCGATCGGGGAGCTGATGAGGCTTTGGTGATCGATCCTGTGATGATTAGCTAGTAATGGCTGCGCCTGCGTCGTCTACGCCATTCCAGCCCTATGTGTACCAGGTGAGTGACAATGAGCGAGTTGCAAATGCCTATGCCCGAATTTTTTTCCTTTCCTTGTTCCTCCTAGAGTGAGCAATCGGCTGCCGCGACGGCATTCCAGATTTTTGGCTTTGAGGCGCAAATCCTGCAGGTAATCGCTGGAATGCTGCTCGAAAAAGGAATTTTTCTAACAGCTCATTCAGATAATGTTAAAACCTCAAGAAAAAATCCAAGCAAAGTCAGGTTGTGTTTCCCCCTTTGCGAGTCACTCACAATTTTCTCTTTTCTATTTTTTTTTTTGTCTCGTTTTCCAGGATCAATGTGCTACACCTCTGGATCTATTCAAGCAGAAGTTAACGTTCCTCAAGAAAACGCTGGTGTTGGTGTGTTGCAATGGATGATGGGACGACCCGATACAAGCACTACGTAAGTTGGTCCAGTTTTTCTTCAGGAATCGTTTTGATCTTCGCTGCAGGTTTACAAATGCGGGAAGTGAAGATGGTTACATTGGCCTAGGAGCACCCTCACTAGCCAGAATATTGCCGGTATGCGATTTTGCTTTGCTGTTTTTCCTTTGCATTTCTAGAGATTTAGCGGCGAGAACTTGGCAGATCGACTTGGCTGTATTTGGCGGGGAGATTATTTGTCAGGTAAGATTATCCTCCATACTTATGCGACAAGTCCCTTTTTTCGGTGCTTTATCCCAGCGGGAAGCCTTCCTAGGATCTGTTAACGACGTCACGGTGAAACATCTAACGCCACGAAGAGTTCGTGTTGGGTACTTTGGAGCTGATGTGGGAGTTAATTCATTTGGAAATGTTTCTTTGGGAATCTAATTCTTTCGCGTTCGTCGCAGGGACTTTTGACGCAGAAACTCGTAGGACAGGGCCTCGCTTTCATCACAGCCGGTGGTTCCGGTAAAGGAAGCTCTTGCCTCCCCTTCGTGTTCTTCTCACGTTGATCTATCAGTGCTGCAGAAGAAACTAACCAGAGGAGAATTGCTTGTCGTCGACATTGGATGCCTCGTGGCCATGACAAGTGCCGTGGAGTGCGAGATCAAGCAAGCTAGTCCTGCTGCGCGACGAGCATTTTTCGGCGTAAGTTTTTCGCTCTTCGTCGCTGGCGTCCAGACTCTCGATTTTTTCTTTCTTCCAGGGTGAATGCCCATTTCAGGCTCACCTTACAGGACCGGGTGTAGTCTTCATCCAAAGTTTGCCATCACAACGACTTGCTCACAAGATAGCTAGGTACGAAAAGAAAGTTTGTGCTAGAACTCCATCTAAATGCTCGTCCACAGGACAATCTCGGCTCCTCATTTCCGGGACAACCCCCGGTTTTTTATTTCGGCTGGGGTGTTTCTTTTCCTTGCGTACGCCATGATTTTCGCATCTTTGCTTCTCGCAGAGCCGTGAGGCCCACTGGACAAAAGAAAGAGAACACAACACACTCGAAATCTTACATTCATAGTACCATAAAAACTGGTAATTGCCCAGCACCATGAAGAGCATCTTAACTGCATTACAAAAGAGTTGGGAACCAGAAGAGAGGGGCTAGCATGAAAGCTGCTTCTCAGTTTAATAAGAAAAAGGATGCCAAAGGCGCTCTACGAGGTTGGTTTTAGATAAAGATGCAAGAGCATGGCCGAGCAGCAGGATTGCAGGGGTTGGATAGTCACAGACAACGTAAGTCCATTGCCCATGTCCCATGTATCTCTCATTTGCTCGCTTGTCCATGGCGGAGAATCCCATCATATTCCTCATTTAAAGTAGTGATCTCATCCTATTTTAAAATTTTTACTAATTATTAAATAAATATTATTTTTTGTTTGGTCTACCATCTAATGGTTTTTAATTAATTTTGCATATATAATTTATAAACTGTGCAATTGTTTATATATTATAAATATATTTAAAATTATAAATATTCTGGATGTAGAAAATATCTTGAATACAATAGTATTTTGATTTGCAATTTAGTATCTCTCCAAATGGTACACGAGAAGGAGAATATTTTTAATACTCTGTCCAATGTAGATATCCAGGATTTGGTCCATCTTTCGGTTAAATAATAAGTTTTCAAGTTTATCCTAGAGACTATTTCTAGGGAATGGGCTGAAAGCCTAAAGCATGCTTGCATGGGGGCAAATATATAACATATAAATTAGGTATAGTTGATGAATTTGAGATATTGTTTAGTTACTTAGGAAATATATCTATTCTTGATTTATATCTCTAAACTCAAACTCTATACCATGCTAATTAATGAAATATTTATATCTTTGTATTAACCTAATATATTGAAATAGTGTTAAATCTTGTTTAGCTCAGTTTTGCATATTGATTTTGATGTTGGGATGCTAAAAGCTTTAAAATTGTTCTTGCTTTGTACTTTTATTTTTTTTCTTCTTGGTTGTATATTCAAAAGTTTGATTCTATCTTTTCATTCAATGGCTTAAAGCTTTGAAATTTGAGTCCCAATTATTTTGCCTTTGACAAGGTAGTAATTCACTATAGGGTATAGGGTAAAAACCACAAATGCTATATTTGGTATCAAAAACAAGTTGAATAGAAAATATGTGTAATTGAGGCATTGATATTACAAACATTTGTGTTAGTGAAAATAACATTATTATATTGAGTATGATGAGTTTTCCTTAGAACTTGAATTTTTTTATCATATTCTTTTTAATGTTTTGGTTTCACACTAGATCTTGAAAATGATTGAAAAAGAGTATGAGTGTGATATGAATATCTAAAGATTTAGTTTTTGTGGTCGAGTCTTAGATATTTATATTACATTTGCAAATGTTGGTGATAGATATCAAATATATAGATATGTTGTTAAATGCTTAGGTATTCTATTAGGTTATAAAAATTTGTGTTGAGATAAACATATATGAAGTTGTAAGTAAGAGGAAATTTGTTAGGTCTGAGAGTCATTTTTTTTTAGGATGGCAAATTTTCAAAAAATTATTGTAAGCTTTTCCAATAATTTCTTTATTAATTATTCTATTAAAAAACTGGTCTATTTTAGTAAGTTATTACAAATTAGTGAAGGGGTTAGAGTTGACTTTAGATAACTTAAACTTTAATATGTGGCTTGTATAATGCAACCTGAAAAGGATATTGATCTTGAGGTTAACACAATTAAAATTTAGAATTGAAGTAGAAAAGTGGTTATTGCACTTATCACTTTATGCTTGGTGGTAAATTGCATCTTACATTATGCATTTTGATTAACGATTATAATGTATAACTTAATTGTTTTCGGTTGAGGTGTAAGTACCTGTACTATAGCCATATCCATTAAAGGTTGTGTACCTATATGAGTCAATTTATTAGTTTTTACTTTAGTTCCAGCTAAGTGTCAATCATTTATAGTTATCCTCTTTAGTCATACTAAGCCAGACATATTAATTAGCTTTTTATTGCTTGATTGGAGTTGAGTAGTCACTTTTTTTATATTTGTTTATATTCCTATATATTATACCTAGAGTGTTACCTTTCTATTGAACAAGTATATAATTTGATGATGTGAGTTTGGGATTAAGTCTTTTGAAGTCAAGTTGAAGAGTGATTATTAATTATGTTGCAATTAATAATTTCTTGTATACCATGTCAAGGACTAATAATACTTTTCTTAGATTTAGCAATGATAGGCTTACTCACCGGATGATATTGTGGAGGATTGTGTAGCTAAATTTGCATGGCTTTTCCATATAAACATATTATTTCCACGTCTGTCAATATTATTTTGTTGTGTTTAGTTTGTGGTGTTGGATTATATTGATGTGATGATTCACTCCTTAATAAAATATTGTTTATTTCTTGGATACTAAATATAACATCTTCAACTTCGGTTAGCTTAATTACTGAAAATCTTTGAATAGTGGTTTATTCTTGCTCTTTTTAGTTTTATTCTATTATTGATAACATTGAAGGGATGCTTGAACATTAATATTTTTGAAGTTGAGATTGGAGTGATATTAAATGTTTCTTCATATATATATTGAAAAAGTTTAATTTTTCATCTGGATGGTTAATGATCAATTTTCCTCATTAGAGATTGATATTTTGTTTCACTAATCTTGATGAAAATGGTGTTGGTGATTAAGCTATACCTTTATATTGTTGGCATTCACTCATTTGTTACTTAACAACTATATTAGCATTCAAATAAGCTAAGTGCCAAGTTAGTTAATTTTATTCTAAATGAGATTACTTAGTAAAGGTTTGACTTTAGCTTTTCCATGAAAAGTGGTTTAATAATAGACTATGCTAAACATGGCAAAAGGAAAAGTTAATGATTGATAGTTGAATTATTAGTTCTTTGTTTGTTTGATTTTTTATTATTGATCATTGATGATTTTTATTAGGCTTGTTATAAAGTAGGGAAAGGAATTGCAACCTTTGTCTCTTATCTATTGTTCTTTGGTCTCACGGTTAATTCTTGTGATTCAGTTGTAAATAACAAAATACTGTTCAAATTGAATTATTATAGAAATCCAAACATTTCTATATTTTAAATTGTGAGAAGGAAACACCTTAAAATCTATAAAGATACCATGATTCTAAAGTGGTATTATAATAAGCCAAGAGGGATTAAAAATGGTAAAAGATAAAAGTATATATTGTGAGGTCCAGGTGTACAGCTATAATGCAGTATACTTGATTTTTCCTGTATATAAAATAGGGTTTATGGGCTAATCTATGCAATCACATTAATAAAGATGCTGGATTTATGCTTTTGGTTTGTACATAAATACACACAGACATACATACATACATACATACATATATATATACATATATTTATTTATTTATTTATTTATTCATTTATATGTATGTATGTATATATATGTATATGTATTAATGTATTTGTGTATTAATGTATGTCTGTGTGTATTTATGTACAAACGAAAAGCATAAATCCAAGCATCTATATTAATGTGATTGCATAGATTAGCCCATAAACCCTAGTTTATATATAGGACAAATTAAGTATACTACATTGTAACTGTACACTGGACCTCATAATATATACTTTTATCTTTTACCATTTTTAATCCTCTTAGCTTATTATAATACCAGGATATCTTTATAGGTTTTTCCTATTTAAAATATAGAAATGTTTCTACAATAACTCAATTTGAACAGTATTTTGTTATTTACAACTGAATCACAAGAATTAACCGTGAGACCAACAAAACATTCTTTTTCGAATTGTAAGCCTCTATCAGCTTCTGAATATTTACATCAGCCTCTACATCCTCTATAAGTTTGTGAAGTGGAAGTATCTATACAAAATGTTCACTTTGGCTGCAGTAGCTTTGCACATACAAATCTTCTGCTCCCATAAGGCAAAGTAGCAAAATCCAAAACATTTAGATTTGCCTCTACATCCTCTATGAGTGTTCATCATTAGCTTTGTGCATACAGAGCTTCTGCTCGAACTGGCTAATGACAAATTGTGTGAATCAGTCCAAAAGGCAAAGTCGTAGAATATGAAACGTCGAGGTAGATGGGCAGATGGTCAACATTGTTTCCTTCGTGCAAGTCACAAAATACTCAATCATCAAAAGAAATAAAGCTCATCACACACTTACCCATACCCCTCTACCCCTCAATGATTCTGTCAGAGCTATAGTAATTTTCAAAAAGTTTGGATGTGTTCTCAAACCAAGACTGCAGAGCCGCTGTCTAGAAACCGAGACTGCATACAACTAGAGCCACTGTCTAGAAAGTTTTCCTATGAAATCCTCCAAGAGCCGCTGTCTAGAAATTTTTCCTGCGAAATCCGCCGGAGCGGAAGAGGAGTGAAAATATTAAGAGATCCTACCGACACGGGACATTGTCCTTCACAACTTTCTAGTTTATATTTAAGAGCTTACTGGAATGTCAACTGGTGGTACTGGAATGTCGTCTCTTATGAGGTCCTCCGTTGAGAATTCCTCGATCGCCGGTGGAAAGAGATGATCTCTGCTGTGCTTCGACTTGGTCTCCCGGCCAAGGAACCGGGTGTATTCATAATCGATAGTGGGAAGGAGTAAAAACCGGGCTTGAAGATCTTGAGGAACCACTACGGGATGCCCAACGCACTGTCTATAAGCGCGCCACATCACTGTGTCCGGTGGCTTTGCGAGATCGTAGTCCACTGGCCGCATGTTCATCAGCCATCCCTTTTCGTCGGGGACCAACCTGCATCACAGAGATTTAAATCTATGTATTGGAGATCATGGAAGATATTACGAACCACATGGCTTCCAC